TAAGACTGAAATTAAAACCTTTCTTCCATTCTTTGTGATTTTAAAATGAAGTAAAAATAGTCTGACTGCCAGTTTCAGGCCTCTGATCTGCTTTTATTAATAAAAATGTAGAAAGTTATTGTTTTCATGAATGTAGACAGCAGACATCAGTTTGTCTCATGCCGAACCCGAAAACACATAACCCCTGCTATTGCAACACCCCCCAGCACTGCATTGGAGCCTCATCATAGATTATGTATTACAAGTCGTTTTACAAAATGAGTATGAAGTGTGCGCTATTACTGAGATTAAAATAGCTAATCTGTACCAGCAACACACCAACACAACAATCAGCGATTGAACCCAAACTGTAATCGAGCATAAATGCAGAAAGTGTATTCAGTTCCACTATTCAACCGGCATTCTTTCCCTCAATAGAAAACATCACTTCGTCCCCCAATTTAGCACATTTAAACACGTGGAGTTTATTGGTTAGAGCATGCGCCTCGCAACTTAGAGGACCTGGGTTTGATTCTCAGGCATGGAGGGCTTTCAAAGTGAGGACCAGATCTTGACGTATTCTGTGTGATGGGAAGCCAGTGGAGTTGGGCGAGGATAGGGGTGATAGGGTCGCGGAGCCTGGTGCGGGAGAGAACGCGGGCGGCAGAGTTCTGGATGATCTGAAGCCTGTGGAGGGAGGATTTGGGAGGCCGACGAGGGAGTTTGCGTAGTCGAGCCTGGATGTGATGAATGCGTGTATGAGGGTCTTGGCGGCCTGCGGTGTGAGCCAGTGGCGGAGCCGGGCAATGTTGTCAAGGTGGGGAAAGGCGGAGTGGGATGTGGGAGGTGACAGACAATTGAAGGTCGAACAGGACGCCAACGCTTTGTATTGGCTCTGGGTCCCCAAGCCTCGGCCCTTGTCAACCCACACCTAATGCTCTGTGGAATTAGGTGACCAGAATGCATCCCCTCAGGGAGAAGGTGCATTCCATTCCAACAAATTATCTCTGAGATTTCCATGTTCAACGGAATTCACAGCTTGATTTGGAGACCCTTAAGCACGGTGATGATTTCTGCACGTGTTAGACACCCACAAACAAATTGGATCAAGGGGGAGAATGTAATATACGTGTCCTGTAGCTTAGTGGTTAGAGCACTTGCCTCGCAAGCGAGAAGACCTGGGTTCAATTTGTGGCAGATTCAAACATTAGGCAAGTTTCCTCACTCGCGAGTGCTCTAACCATTACACTACAGGACTCCACTCATCACCTCCTCACTGGTCTCCCCAACTCCAACATTCACAAAGTGCAACTGAGTCACAACTCTGCCACGGTATCCTTCCCTGCACCAAGCTCCGAACTCCCATCACCCTCGGTCCCAACTGAACACGACTCCACCACCCTCTCCTTTATCCCCCCCACCCCGCCAACCCCCTCCCCAACCCCACTAACCTCCTCCCCTACCCCGGGTTTATCTGAACAGTCACACAGCGAGAAGTGAGAGAAAGCAGTTTATAAAGAGTCCGTGACGCTCTGTGGAATGAGGTAATCAGGGAGAGCGCACATTCCAGTCCCACAATCCACGGCAAGTTCCAGATCAGGCTGTCATGTGCTGTCACTGGGGCTGGGGCTGGGGGTGGGGGGGCTGGGGGGTGGGGCGGGGTCCTGACGGTGTGGCTACGCCTTTCGAAGGCCTTGAGGACGGCCGCAGTGGAGCGATCCTGTCTGGTCACTGCGCTGAAATCCAGCACCTTCAGCTGTGGGATCATCCCCAGCACTTGGCTCCTGGGGGAGGACATCGATGGGTTAACCCTGAGAGATGAAAGGTTACAACAACAACAACTTGCATTTACACAGGATAGTACAAGCGCTTGACAGTGGCAGAGCAAGGCAGGTGGGGCGGAGGGAGGGGGAGGTGGTGACTGCAGGTACTGTCAAATAGGAAGGTCTTCAGGTACAATCTGAAGATGGGGAAGGAAGGGAGGAAGGACAGGGAGAGCAGGGAGGGGCGGTGGAGGGTGGACAGGGAAGTGAGGGAGGGAATTCCAGAAGGGGGGGCAGAGTGCCAATGGTGGGCAGACAAGGTGAGGATGTGAAGCAGGGCGGAGCCCGCTGAGCAGAGGGAGCAGGTTGGTAGGGGGTTAGGAGGTGGCAAAGGTAGCGGGGAGCGAGGCCATGGAGGGCTTTGAAGGTGAGGACCAGAATCTTGAACTGTATCCTCTATGTGATGGGAAGCCAGTGGAGGATGGGGGAGCCTGGTGCAGGAGAGGACATGGGCTGCACAGTTCTGGATGATCTGTAGCCTATGGAGGGAGGAGTTGGGGAGGCCGACAAGCGGTGAGAGACAGTGGTGGAGCTGGGCGATGCTGCGGAGAAGGGGGAAGGCAAAACGGGTCATGGCACAGATGTGGGGTAGGAAGGATAGCTGAGGGTCAAACAAGATACCAAGGATCCGGACTGGGTTAGTAAAGTGCATCCATGGATGTGATGCTGTCGATGCCTGATGTGTGGAGGCAATGATGGGAACCAACCAGGAGTGCCTTGCTGACCAGTAGGAGACCAGAGCCAGTGGAGTGGAGGCAGCAAGTAGTGGGTTGGGGAGTGAGCAGGTCAGAGAGGTTGAGTAAATTAGGCCTATATTCTCTAGAATATAGAGGAATTAGAGGTGATCTTATAGAAACCTATAAGATTCTTAAGGGTGGATGCCGTGAGACTGTTTCCCCTGGTTGGAGAATCTATAACTAGGGGTCATAGTCTCAAGATTAAGGGTCAGCCTTTTCGAACTGAGTTGAGGAAACATTTCTTCACTCAGAGGGTAGTAAATCTGTGAAATTCTCTACCCCAGAAGGCTGTGGATGCTCAGTCCTTGAACATATTCAAGACTGAGGTTGATAGATTTTTAAAGGATAGAGGGATTAAAGGATATGGGGATAGGGCGGGTAAATGGAATAAGGTTAGAAGATCAGCCATGATCTGATTAAATGGCTGGACAGCCTCGACGGGCCAAATGGCCTACGTCTCCTATGTCTTATGGTCTTATAAGTGAATTGGTTTGTTTCCTGATGAGGAGATTTTAAGGGTTTGTAGAGAGGGAGGTGGGGAGAAAAGGTGGGGGTGGGAGATCGTGCGGGGTGGTGATCGAGCAGGGTGGGGTGATTGTGGGAGAGTGAGGGTGAACACCAAGCCTGGGTGGTTGGGCTGAACGAGTGGTTACCTGTAGCCTTTCTCCAGCTCTACCAGATTGCCGTGCAGTGTGAGACTCCTGAGTGGGACCACTGTGCCCAGCTTCCTGATCTCTGCCAGGTTGTTGATGGAGTTGCCGTGTAGATAGAGAATCTGCAAGTTACTGAAGGTCGTCAGTACCTAGTGACAGACACAGTGTGTGTCATATACTGTCCTCTTTGCTCTGCAGGCTCCAACCTGCTCCGTCCACCACTGGTGACCGGACCTTCAGCCTCTCTACTCCCCAACACATCCCACAGTCCCTTCGCCTCATTCCCTCCCTTGCCACCTTCAAGGCCAGTCTCAAGACCCACAGTTCAGGTCCAAATCCCTGACTGTCTAGCACCTTGGGATGTCCTCCCGACATGAAAGCGCTGTGTAAATATAATGTGTGTTGTTGACAGACCAGAGGGAGTGGGTGCTGGTTAGGTGAGGGTCCTGTAGCTTAGTGTCTAAAGCACTTGCATCACACGCAAGAGGACCTGAGTTCAATTCCCAGGTAGGGCGAAATGTTCGGCAAGTTTCCTTACTCCACACAACAACAACAACAACAAGATTCCATTTATAAAGCGCCTTTCACGTCAGGAGGACGTCCCAAGACGTCCCAAGGCAAACACGCCTGTTTACCTAGCAATAAGTAGGAACCTGGTTGTTAAGTTGATTGGCAGATCGCTTTTCCGGGGGTAATCCCTTCCAAAAAAATAATAATTTGTTCACTCAATCCTTGACTGTTGGTGAGACGCTGCTGTGCGCAATTGGCTGCTGTGTTTCATCCACAAGATATAGTCAATTCACTTTACAGTATATTTTGTGAAGTGCTTTGAGACATCGCAAAGATGTGAGAAAGCGCTATGTCAAATGAAAGGATTATTATTATTACCTACTTCCGGAAAGTATTAGGTGCAGTTTGGCAAGAGCCAAAGCTTGGGGGGACCCCAGAATGTGCGTATACAATTGTAATTTTGTTGTTGTTGGGGAAACTGCTGGAGTCGAACCAGCAACAACACATTACATTTACACAGCACCTTTCACGTCAGGACTTCCCAAGGCGCAGGACAGTAAGGGATTTGGATCCAGATGGGGGTTGGGATCAGGAGGGGTGGAGGGCAGGGTGAGGTAGGAGGGTGACCAAAGGCGCTATCAAAGAGGAGGATCTTGAAGGAAGCAAGGGAGGGAGTGAAGCGGAGGGACTGTTGGATGGAGTTCCAGAGGGTGTGGGGTAAAGAGGCTGAAGGCCCGACTGCCGATGGTGTTGTGGGCTTGACAGGGGGAGTCTTGTAGAGTGTAGGAGAGTATGGAGTCTGTTATGCTTATGGAGTGTTGTTCCTTAGGGAATATGTGGAGGTTTCTCTGTGAGCGGGAGAGGGAATGGGGTGGTCACTGTGAGAGGCAGGAAACGTACAGGATGGATGTGTGCGAGGGAGTTGAAGGAAAGATCGAGCCAGAAAAGGCGAGTGGGGTCGGCCAGCACGTGAGTGAGCAGCTCGTTCAGGAAGCTGATGTCTTGAAGCTGGTTGTTGCTGATGCGGAAGGAGCAGCTGAGGATCCTGCCCTGCTCAGTGTAGGTGTAGGGTCGCAGGCCAGGCCGGGCAGCCACGTCATAGGCCTCTGTGTGGGACAGAGAGAGGCTGAGTGTCAAACACAGCCTCACACAAGATACATTTCAATAACCCAGAGAGAGTGTGTGCTGTCACTGTCTATCACACGGGGAGACGGTGCGCTGTGACTAACATGGAGAGAGGATGTGCTGTGACTGTCTATAACGTGGAGAGAGCGTGTGCAGCAGTTTAGAGTGGGCGGTTCACGTGGAGACCGACAGCAGTGAGGACAGCCAGCTGTTTCTGTGCTATACGTAACAGTCTGTGGTTCTCGAGTCCCATTAACAGACCCGTCAAGGTGTCCAGATCCCGGTAGGAATAATCCACGATTGGCCCATATTCCGCTGGCCGCTTCTCTGGGCTCCCCATCATCAGCGGCCACCTGGGAACAAGAACAAGCCTGGAGTCTTGTAGTTCAGTGGTTAGTCCGCTCGCCTCACAAGCTAGAGGAGCCAGGTTCGATTCCCGAGTAGGGCGAAATCTTAGGCAACTTTCTTTACTCCACATGCCTCTGTTTACCAGTGGTTAGTTGATTGGCGGATCGCTTTCCGGGGTAACAATCCCTCTCCCCCAAAAATGTGGACACTCAATCCATGACTGTTTGTGGGACACTGCTGTGTACAATTGGCAGCTGCATTTTGTCCACAAAATATACAGTTACTACTCTTTAACAGTGTATCCTGTGAAGCACTTTGAGATGTCTCAACAGTATGATAAGGCGCTATATCAAATGTAAGGATTATTATGAAATACTTCCCGGTCTCTGTCCTAAAATCACCCCTCAACCCGTGCTTTCTACCTCGTTGCCTGGCGTGCCTGATAGGATTGTTATGGGTTTCTTTTCTCAATCTCATTTAGCATCTCACATCCTTCACCGATTCCCTCAAACATGTCGGAGCTTCACAAATCTCCTGCTTTGTTCTCTAGGTACCTCACGGATATGGTTCCATCTCCCTACTCTAACCCCATTCCCTGCTCTCTTCCCATTTTGACTGTACTGGTGCTCGCTCCCCCACTGGAGCTCTCAGCTCTAAACCCAATCCCCATTAAATCCAGTCGCCAGACTACGGCACTACCTCACCCCTCACGCTGCTGAAACTCTGGTCCACGCCTTTGTCACCTCAAGGCTGGACTATGGGAACTCTCTCCTCGTCGGCCTTCCCGCCACCTCCCTCCACACTGCAGGTCATTCAGAACTCTGCAGCTCGTGTACTGTCCCGCACCAGGCTTCGGGACCACATCACTCCCACCCTCGCTCGCCTCCACTGGCTCCCCATCCCCCAGAGGATTGATTTCAAGATCCTCATCCTCACCTACAAGGCCATTCATGGCCTTGCTCCCTCCTACCTCTCCAACCTACTATCCCCCTACCTACCTGCCCGTACCCTCCGTTCCTCTGGCTCTGGTCTGCTCCACGTCCCCGCCCCAACCGCCCTACCATCGGTGGTCGGGCCTTCAGCCTCTCAGCCCCGAGGCTCTGGAACTCCATCCCCCAGTGCTTTCGCCTTGCTTCCTCCCTTTCCTCCTTCAAGGCCGGTCTCAAAACCTTTCTCTTTGACCGTGCCTTCAGCTCCCCTCTCGACTCTCTTCCCCCTCCTCGCTCCCTCCCTTCCCTCCCTCACCCTGACCATTTCCCCCCTCCTCGCTCCCTCCCTTCCCTCCCCTCACCCTGACCATTTCCCCCTGCTCGGGCCATGACCCAACTGTGCAGCGCCTTGGGACGTCCTCCTGACGTGAAAGGCGCTTTATAAATGGAATCTTGTTGTTGTTGTTGTTGTTGTTACCAATGACTGTTTGCAGTCAGAAATCCACATTGTAACAGTTTCTGCCTTGGGTCAGAAATTCTAACCTTTTCTCATGGGGGAGAAGGTTCTCAGTTGATGTCTTCCTGTCAATGACTCACTGATCAGTCGTAACTTTACCAAAACTGTCACAACAACAAAAACGTTTGCCCGCTGTCTGCCTTTCCCTTACAAAACCCTCCCAATATTTCATGTGTCTGCAAATGTATCCACTTGGCCCCTGTGTGGGCTCAGTCCTTCCATGATGTTTCCTCTCCATTACTTGTGATGTCGTTTGGACAATGGTGGGGTCACAATGAAGCCTGTGATTTGTCTTTTCCTCAGGGTTTGTTTGGGTTGTAGTTGGTGCTGCTGATCTCAGTGCACAACAACAACAACGATTGATGTGTTCATTTATGTGTATAATAATTCTTGCATTTGATATAGCACCTTATCATGTCTTCAAAATCTGTACTAAGACAGTGTGTCTGTGTGTGTCTGTTTGTGTGTCCGTCAATCATGCAATAACCGATAGAGACATGATGTAGAGACATGATTTATATTTTATCGGAAAGGTCTTGCACTGGGGAGTGTCATGGGCATACTTTTTGGGGGATCTCCTATCGTTGATGAGCTATATTAAAATATGCTTTAACTAAGCCCCAAAATATGAGGTATGCATCACATTCTGCAACTGCATAGTGACAGAGGAAAGCACACACCGTTCAGAGAGATACATCTATATGCTGCAACAAATGTTTGGCACTTTTTCTGAGAGAGAGAGACTGAGATAGTGAGAGAGAGACTGAGAGAGAAACTGGGAGAGAGACTGAGGGGGACACTGGGAGAGAGACCGAGAGAGTCACTGAGAGGGAGAGAGAGAGACTGGGATAGAGACACACACACACACAGACTGGGTTGAGAGAGACTGAAATAGAGACAAAGAGAAACTGAGAGTGAGATTGGGAGAGAGACTGAGAGAGGGAGACTGAGAGAGAGAGATACTGAGCGAGAGACAGAGAGAGACAGACTGTGAGAGAAAATATATTAAAGAAGTCCTCCCACAGGAGTCCTCCCAGCTGAGCAGAGATAAAGATGAAATGTCTGTCTGTCAATCTGCATTCCATATTGGATCCTTTGGTTGCAAGCGAAGCTGCAATGTGTACAGCTAGTAATAATAATAATCCTTGCATTTGATATAGCGCTTTTCATGTCGGGAGGACGTCCCAAAGCGCTTCACAGAATATACTGTAAAGTGAATTGACTGCATATTTGTGGGCGAACGCGGCAGCCAATTGCGCACAGCAATGTCCCACAAACAGTCGTGGATTGAAAATGACCAATTTATTATTGTTTTTGGTTTTGGAGGATTATTATTATTAGACTCTGTGTGGAGTAAGGAAACTTGCCCAAGGTTTGGCCCTGATCTGCCGGGGACTGAACTCAGGTCTCTCACTTGCAAAGCGAGTGCTCTAACCACTGAGCTACAGGACTCCACCCACTGAGCTACAGGACTCCACGGTATACTGCAAAGTAAATTGACCGTATATTTGTGGGTGAATCACAGCAGCCAATTTCACACAGCAGTGTCCCACAAACAGTTGTAGATTGAGGGACCAAATTGTTTTTTGAGGGATTATTACTTTGGAAAAGCAATCCACCAATTGACTAACAACTGGAATCCACTTGTCTGAGGTTTTGCCCTGCCCGGGGATCAAACCCAGGTCCTATCGTTTGCAAGACAAGTGCTCGAACCACTATGCTACTGGAGTGTGCATCTATTATATAAAGCTATTATTATGAAATAAATAAAATAATCAGAATTGGTTGCTCAAAAATCCACAACTGTTTGTGGGACACTGCTGTGCGCAATTGGCTGCTGCGTTTCACCCACAAAACACACAGTCACTACACTTTACAGTATATTCTGTGAAGCGCTTTGAGACGTCTCGAAGATGTGATAAGGCGCTGTATCACATGCCAGGATTATTATTATTACACTGCTGGACCTCAATTATTATTGTTGTTGTTGTGAGCAGTGCTGCAGCCGGGGTATGTGAGGAGGCCATTCCCCCTGTGTGTGGGGGGAGAAATCCTTACCTGCCTCAGGGTCTGTCTCTCCCTCCATTTGTGCACGCACGCGCGCACACACACACCCCAGGCTCCGGGGTAACTGCTACGCGCAATGCACGATGGGAGTTGTAGTTCCCTGCGTCATGTGATGCCACATGTTGAGTGCCGTCACCTCGCTGTCGCCCGGTGCACGCCGGATTTGTAGTCGTCGTCGTCACGTGGTGCTGCTGCACCTTGGACGCCATCATCTCTGTTGCGCGATGCATGCTGGGAGTGGTAATTACGCGGTCCATTTTACAGCCGAGAAGACGGCCATTCGGCCCATTCCGTCTGTGTTTTTTCTTTCAAGAGCGACCCTTTCAGCCCCATCTACATCCGTCCCTCGACCCCTCCGCTCCACGTTTGGCGGCCACGACATCCCGAAACTTACCAACCTGAACTGTCCCATCAAGCAATCCCATTGGACCATCCGCCTGTCCATCAATCCATCCTGGGCTCCCATTTGACCCTCCGCCTGTTCAACCCATTCTGTGCTCTCATTGGACCTTTCACGTGTCGATACATTCACTCCTAGTCCAATCAAGCTCATCCCTAACAGCACAAGCACCGAATTCGCGGGAAATATTGCGGGTTTAACGACCCTGGTCGATACTCAGTGACTGGTGACACATTACTCGTGGATAAGCTTTACTGGTGACGTATTACACGGAAATACGCAGTAACTGGTGACATTTACGGGGAGACACCCAGTTGCCGGTGACGCAGTGTGGGGGGGGGGTCACGAGTGACCCGGATGGCGGTGACGTGTAGAGCCAATGAGAACGTGGGGCTCGCGAAAAGCGTTTGAAATTTGAATCTGACTCAAAATAACCGACATACGAAAGGCGGGAGCGCGCGGCCCCGGAGCCGCCACAGCCACAGCCCGACCCCGGGACACCGACAGCTACAGCCCCGGCTTCACCAATCCCAGCCGGATACCCGGTAACAAGCAAGTCCGCCCCTCCGGGGTCCAGCGCTTCAGTCCCGGGAGGAAGGAGGGGGAATTGGGTGATGGTGTGGGAGGGCAGGGCTCTGGGCTCTGGGCTGGGGAGCCAGTTATAATAATACTATTAATAATAATCCTTGCATTTGATATAGCGCCTCATGTCATTGAGACGTCTCAAAGCGCTTCACAGAATACACTGTAAACTGAAATTAACTCTGAATTTTGTGGATGAAACGCGGCAGCCAATTGTGCACAGCAGTGTCCCTACAAACAGCCGTGGATTGAGTGACCACATTTTTTTTCTGAAGGATTATTACTACCAGAAAGTGATCCACCAAAGAAAGTGATCCACCAATTGACTAATAATCGGGTTTCCTTCTTGCTGCTACATAAACAGAGGCGTGTGGAGTAAGGAAACGGGCCTAAGGTTTTGCCCTGGAATATACAGTTGGTTGATAAATACAATGTTATCTTCATCCAGTGAGTCTATGAACCTGTTCTTGATTTAATAAAATAATAATAATCTTTGCATTTGACACTGCTGTGCGCAATTGGTAGCCGTATTTTGTCCACAAAATACACAGCGATGACACTTTACAGTATATTCTGTGAAGCGCTTTGAGACGTCTCGAAGATGTGATAAGGTGCTGTATCAAATACAAGCATTATTATTGTTTATCGGTTTCATTTATTTTAGCAAATAACTTGCTAAGTGTCAGCTTGGCTCAATGGGTGGGACTCCTTTGAGTCCTAAGCATCAACTTGTATTTATTTCAGACAGAACACTTGAAGTGGTCATTAAAAATGCAATTATGCCCTAGTTTTGGGCTTTAAGCTCTCAGTCCAATCTGACTTCAGACTGAGGTCCCATCTACTTTGATGAGACATGGGGTTGACTTCCGCGTGTATGCGGATGACGCCCAGCTCTACCTTTCCTCCCCTACTCTCAACTCCACGACCACCGATGTCCTGACGGCCTGCCTGTCCGACGTCGAGTCCTGGACGAGAGACAACTTTCTTCAGCTCAACGTGCGAAAAACCGAGGCCCTCCTGATTGGCTCACGTCAGCGCCTCCGCACCTCAGGCGCTGACACCATCAGCATCCAAGGCTGCACTCTCCACCTCTCAAAGCCAGTCAGGAACCTCGGCGTTTTGTTCGACCCTGAGCTGTCCTTTCTCCCTCACATCCGCACCACAACTGGCACCGCCTTCCATCACCTCCGGAATATCGCCAGATTACGGCACTGCCTCGCCCCTCACGCTGCTGGGACCCTGGTTCGCGCCTTTGTCACCTCAAGGCTGGACTATAGGAACTCTCTCCTCGCCGGCCTTCCCGGCACCTCCCTCCACAAGCTGCAGGTCATTCAGAACTCTGCAGCTCGTGTGCTGTCCCGCACCAGGCTTCGGGACCACATCACTCCTACCCTCGCTCGCCTCCACTGGCTCCCCATCCCCCAGAGGATTGATTTCAAGATCCTCATCCTCACCTACAAGGCCATTCACGGCCTTGCTCCCTCCTACCTCTCCAACCTACTATCCCCCTACCTACCTGCCCGTACCCTCCGTTCCTCTGGTTCCGGTCTGCTCCACGTCCCCCGCCCCAACCGCCCTACTATCGGTGGTCGGGCCTTCAGCCTCTCAGCCCCGAGGCTCTGGAACTCCATCCCCCAGTGCCTTCGCCGCTTCCTCCCTTTCCTCCTTCAAGGCCGGTCTCAAAACCTTTCTCTTTGACCGTGCCTTCAGCTCCCCTCTCGACTCTCTTCCTCCTCCTCGCTCCCTCCCTTCCCTCCCCTCACCCTGACCATTTCCCCCCTGCTCGGGTCATGACCCAACTGTGCAGCGCCTTGGGACGTCCTCCTGACGTGAAAGGCGCTGTGTAAATGGAATCTTGTTGTTGTTGTTGTTGTTGATGTGAATTTTAAAGATCTTGTAACTGTATTGGAAAAAACGCTTTCCTGCTAATGTTCCACCTTAGACCCCATCTCTCCCATTCTCGCCCGACTCCATTGGCTCCCTATCCTTCAGAGGATCCAGTTCAAGATCCTGGTCCTCACCTCGCACCCTCCTTAGGCTCCTTCAAGTCCAACCTCAAAACCCTCCTCTTCAACCATGCCATCAGTCACTCCTCCTTCCCCTCCCTGACTCCAGCTCGCTTCTGAAATACTGTACACTGTCCAGTGCCTTGGGACGTCCTCCTGACGTGAAAGGCGCTATACAAATGTAATGTTGTTGTTATAGTCATTTGCCTAATTGCTGTGATCCTATTGAATGCAAATTGGCTGCTTTATTTGCCTACAATTGCAATCGCTATGTGGAATCCTGTAGCTCAATGGTTAGAGCACTCGCCTTGCAAGTAAGCAGACCCTGGTTCGATCCCCGGGAGGGCAAAACCTTAGGCAAGTTTCTTTACTCCGCACGCCACTGATTACCTAGCAGTAAGTAGGAACCCACTTGTTAGTCACTTTTCCGGGGATAATAATCCCTTCAATACAAAAATACATTTAAAATAATTATATGCATTTAATAATAATTTGCATAATATATTCTGTGAAGCGCTTTGAGACATCTTGAAGACATGATAAGGCGCTATATCAAATGTAAGGATTATTATTAAATACAGTCACTATATTTGATAGCAATCAAATATAGGAATTGACCTATGTTCAGATTGCTTTAGGGTTAGAGTGAGCTTCAAATTGAGGTATTGTTTACTGAGTTTAAACACTGGATCAAGTGACCCCTAAAATATAAAGGCAAAAATATAAGTTGCCAGTAACAACAACAACAACAAGATTCCATTTATAAAGCGCCTTTCACGTCAGGGGGAAGTCCCAAGGCGCTGCACAGTTGGGTCAGGACCCGAGTAGGGGGGAAATGGTCAGGGTGAGGGGAGGGCAGGGAGGGAACGAGGAGGGGGGAAATGGTCAGTGTGAGGGAAGGGAGGGAGCGAGGAGGGGGTAGAGAGTCGAGAGTGGAGCTGAAGGCTCGGTCAAAGAGAAAGGTTTTGAGACCGGCCTTGAAGGAGGAGAGGGAGGAAGTGGCGAAGGCACTGGGGGATGGAGTTCCAGAGCCTCGGGGCTGAGAGGCTGAAGGCCCGACCACCGATGGTAGGGCGGTTGGGGCGGGGGACGTGGAGCAGACCGGAGCCGGAGGAACGGAGGGTACGGGCAGGTAGGTAGGGGGATAGTAGGTCAGAGAGGTAGGAGGGAGCGAGGCCGTGGATGGCCTTATAGGTGAGGATGAGGATCTTGAAATCAATCCTCTGGGGGATGGGGAGCCAGTGGAGGCGAGCGAGGGCGAGGGGGAGGGAGGGCGAGGGTGGGAGTGAGGATGAGGGCGAGGGGGAGGGTGAGGGCGAGGGTGGGAGTGATGTGGTCGCGGTGTCTGGTGCGGGACAGTACACGAGCTGCAGAGTTCTGGATGACCTGCAGTGTGGAGGGAGGTGGGGGAAGGCCGCGAGGAGAGAGTTCCCATAGTCCAGCCTTGAGGTGACAAAGGCGTGGACCAGGGTTTCAGCAGCGTGAGGGGTGAGGTAGTGCCGTAGTCTGGCGATGTTCCGGAGGTGATGGAAGGTGGTGCCAGTTGTGGTGCGGATGTGAGGGAGAAAGGGCAGCTCAGGGTCGGAACAAAACGCCGAGGTTCCTGACTGGCTTTGAGAGGTGGAGAGTGCAGCCTAAATGCATCTAAAAGGGAGTTTTGGAGTCCTGTAGCCTAGTGGTTTGACCCTCAACTATCCATTGTCCACATCCTATCCACATCCGTGCCATGTCCCACTCTGCCTTCCCCCACCTCCGCAACATTGCCCGGCTCCTCCACTGTCTCACACCGCAGGCCGCTGAGACTTTCATACATGCATTCATAACATTCAGGCTTTACTATTGCAAATTCCCTGATTGTCGGCCTCCCTAACTCCTCCCTCCATAGGTTGCAGATCATCCAGAGCTCTGCAGCCAGTGTCCTCTCCCGCACCGGGCTCCATGACCCTATCACCCCCATCCTCGCCCGACTCCACTGGCTTCCCATCACACAAAGGATACAGTTCAACATCCTAGCCCTCACCTTCAAAGCCTCCATGGCCTTGCTCCCCCTACTTCTGCCTCCTCCTAACCCCCTAACAACCTGCCCCCTCCCCTCCCTCTGCTCAGCGTGCTCCGGCCTGCTTCACATCTCCCGCCTCGTCCGCCCCACTTTTGGCGGGCGGGCGTTCGGTTACTCTGCCCCCACCTTCTGGAACTACATCCCACAGTCCCTCCGCCTCGCCCCCTCCCTTGGCATCAACAACAACAACAAAATTATATTTGTATGGAGCCTTTCATGACCCTTCTCAAGAACCTTCTCTTCAACCATGCCTTCGGTCACCCTCCTTCCCCCCCACAACGGGCCTCCACCCTTCTTCCCCCCCCCCCGCTGCCCCCTCCACGATCCTGACCCCCAGCTCGGGTCCGAAACACTGATTGTCCAGCGCCTTGGAACATCCTCCCGACGTGAAAGGCACTTTACAAATGTAATGTTGTTGTTGTTATTAGTTAGAGCATTCGCCTTGCAAGTAAGAGGAACTGGGTTCAATTCCCGGGCAGGGCGAAGTGTTAGACAAGTTTCCTTGCTCCACACACCTCTTTATCTGGCAGTAAGTAGGAACCCAATTGTTAATCAATTGGTGGATCGCTTTTCCAGAGGTAATAATCCCTTCATCAATAAATAAAATGGCTGTCACTTTTCGTCCCCAAAAAGTCACTACACTTTACAGTATATTCTGTGAAGTGTTTTGAGATGTCTCAAAGACATGATATATCAACATATATCAAATGCAAGGGTTATTATTTGATCTTTAAGATGAGTCGGCATACAGGGGGAAAGGGCAGGTCAAAAAAATTACTTTGCTGTCCTACCATCAGTGTGTGAGCTGGCAGGGAGGGTGGGGGTAGGAGTGTGACCGAAGGTGCGGTTGAAGAGGAGAGTCTTGAGACATGTCTTGAAGGAGGCAAGGAAGGGAGCAAGGCGGAGGGACTGTGACATGTGGTTCCAAAGGGTGGGGGCAGAAAGGCTGAAGGCCCAACTGCCAATGGTGGGGCATGCCGCGAGGAGGACATGGAGCAGGCCGGAGCCCGCTGAGGGGAGGGAGTGGACAGTTTGATATGACTACCCGCTATTCTGGGGAATTCTTCCCCCAAAATCCCAGCACTTTCTCCCATGCCTTCAAAATTCTTTAAGCTTCTCTCTCTGAGCCCTATGATCAGCATCTCCCTGCTACATCCCGGTCCTGCCTAAGCTCACAGACCCTGAGCCTCTTTGAAGCATTTTGCGCACCTATCTGGTGTGAATACGCACATGTAAAGCTCACTGTCAACACTGATGGTTCTACGGCTGCGGTACTTAGAGCAGTGAAGATGAAACCAGATGCCCCAGGGGGTCAGAGGTGCACTGTTGAGCGTCTGACTTTACATTCTCGCACTGGGATTGGGGGTCAAGAGGTAGAAAAAAGGTCATTGGTTTAAAGTAGCAGGGGATGCAATAGGGGTGGGACAGGAAGTGAAGGCATATTGTGTCCAGGCTGGGGAATGTGGAATGTAAATGGTTGCCTGCAATTGTCTCCTTGTTTGAGGGAGTGCAGAGAGGAGAGCAGCAAACCCTGACCGAGGAGGTGGCAGTGAAACTCCACACACGTGTGTCTAACGTCTCTGAGCTCAGAACGCTCACTGTTCACTTCAGTGCAGTCTGGCCAGCTGGCCACTTGCTGCTTTCGTAAGCTGATATTTCAAGGCCTTATTTGGCTTCCCTTGCTCTCTCTCTCTCTCTCTCTCTCGGTCTGCTAGTTTTAGCTTGGTTTGTTACTGTGGCACGACCTGCCCAGAATCAGCGAGGCTCTGCTGAGTAAGCAGGCATTCTCTCCTGTCTGCTGTCTTTCAAACTGCTTGGCCCTAATTTTCGTGGACTGAGTCTGTTATTTTTATTGTTCAAGACGGCTTCCTCTCCTCTTGTCACCGTGCCAAACAAGCAAAAGGATTTGAATGGCAATTGGGGCACACCCTCTTTAATAACCTTGCCATCTGAATATGCTAAGAGAATTCATCTCAGCTGTCAACTAACCTCTCTTGTGGGCTAGCCCCCACCCCATCCCAGCGCTTGGCGAAACATTTGTGTGTTTTTTGATGGACAATGTTTTGAAATGCTGAGAGCCCGAAATTGGCACCTTGTGAATTGGATCTTTATTGAACATTTTATGTGTGCTCTATAAATCTTGCATTTGATATAACGCCTTATCACGTCTTTGTCTCAACACACTTCAAAGAATATACTGTAAAGTGAATTAATTGTTTCAATTAACTGTGCAGCCAAATGCGGCTGTGCCTAGGGACATCCTCCCGATGTGAAAGGGGCTATATAAATGTGTTGTTGTTTTGTGGGTGAAATGTAACAGCCATTTGCGCACAGCAGTGTCCCACAAACAGTTGTGGATTGAGTTACCGCATTATTTATTTTATTTTTTATTTTTGAATGGATTATTACCCCGGAAATCTAACAACCAGGTTTCCACTTACTGCTCGGTCAACAGAGGCGTGTGGAGTAAGGAAACTTGCCTGAGGTTTTGCCCTGCCCAGTAATCATACCCAGGTCCTCTCGCTTGCCAGAAGAGTACTCTTAACCACTGAGCTACAGGATTTATGGTACATAAGATGCTGTGAACTTTTTGTTTTGTGCATTTATTCAATTTGGCTCACCCCACCATCGGCAGTCAGGCCTTCAGCCGCTCTGCCCTCACACTAGGGAACCCATTCCTCACTAGAGATCATGCCCATTGGAGGAGAGCAATGGGCATGATCTCTAGTGTTAGTAGTAAGGAATGAAACTGGGTGTTTCGCCCACAAAATATACAATCAATTCACTTTACAAGATACCCTATGAAGCACTTTGAGATGCAAGGATTATTATTATAGGGGTCAAAAATGTTGAGAGCAGTATATCTGCACTAATTTGGTGCAGTCAAATTGTGAGTATGAATCCAATATGGGTATGTGTGTGTGTGTGTTCCTCTGTCTCTGCATGTGCTTTTCTCCTGCTCATAACAGGCTCTACAGCCACATCACTCCACTTCTTTCTTTGTGGAGTCCTATAGTGTAGTGGTTAGAGCACTTGCCTCGCTGAGAGGATCTGGGGGTTCAACTCCTGGGCAGGGAGAAACATTGGGCAAGTTTTCTTACTCCACACACACACACCTCTGTTTACCTTGGAATAAGTAGGAACCTGCTTGTTAGTTGGTTGGCGGATAGCTTTTTCGGTAGTAGTAATAATTTCAAAAATAATAATAATGTGTTCACTCAATCCTCGACTGTGTGTGGGACACTGCTGTGAGTAATTGGCTGCCGCGTTTCTCCCACAATATCCACAGTCAATTCACGTTACTATATTCTGTGAAGCGCTTTGAGACATCTCGAAGACGTGATACGGCGCTGTATCAAGTGCAAGGATTATTCTTATTAAATTTATGATGATCCTGCAAATGTGTTGAAGTGAACTGGTACCAATGTGGAGGCAGTATTTGCTGTGGGATTACGTGCTGTATGTTTTGCCTCTGTTGGATGGTTATGTTTTTCCAGGCACATTGTGTTCATGATGCCTTGTGCTGTTTTTCAGGGCTTTTGTCAGTCTAGTTCCTCAAGATGGTGCTGCACAGAACCAAGGCTGAGGCTCTGGTGAAATGGGTAAGAAGCAGCGGACAATTATAGAGATTCTGATAGCAACACTTAACTGGAACTGGCCTTGACTTGAATAGGGAACAGGGGTGGGTTGGGGCTGTAAATAGTATATATATTAAAATATATAGGGTATTAGCTTAGCTAAGCAATATCTTCAGAAGTTTGTGAATTCATGTCCATATTGGGATTTGAGCTCGTAGTCTAGGCTGACAGTCTATCTTTACAGTAAAACATGACGTCTATTCCCTTGAGTTTAAAAGGTTGAGGGCTGATCTAATTGAGGTATTTAAATTAATAACAGGGATTCGATAGGGTAGCTGCACAGAAACTATTTCCTCTAGTGGGGAATCCAGAACAAGAAATTAGAGCCAGGCTATTTAAGGGTGAAATCAGGAGGCAGTTTTTCACCCAAAGGGCAGTTGGAATCTGGAACTCTCTCCCCCAAAAGGCTGTGGATGCTGGATCCGTTCACAATGTCCAGACTGAGGTGGATAGATATTTGTTAGGTCAGGGATACGGGGCAAGGGCGGCTAATTGGAGTTGAGGTACAGATCAGCCATGATCTTATAGAATAGTGGAATAGGCTCGAGGGACTGAATGGCCTCTTCCTGTTTCTAGGTTTCTAAAAGTTCTGCAATTTGTTTTGAGGTGTTGCAATGATGGATCAAATGGACTGAAAAAGAGTTCATTGTTTCCACTCTCATACTCTTGAGATTGTAAAACATCCACTTGCGGTGCTCAGTCACACCTGGCTCAATCTTTGCAACCTGGGCTTTGGGTTTTGTGCTGAAAGATTGTGGATGTTATCACAGTGAAAGAGGATTGAGGGAAATGGGCCGAAGGTGGTGAAATGGAATTAAAATGACGAGGTTACAAAATGGGTGGGTGCTGATGTAGGGGTTGGCACGAGCCACATCTGGTTTTAGTCCTATTGTAACTGACAGATGTTGCACATTGCCACAAAATACAAAGTCACTGCACTTTACAGTATATCCTGTGAAGCTCTTTGAGACATCTCGACAATATCAAATGCAAGGATTATTATTTGGTTTTCTCTCTTTCTCCCATCAGGTTAACAGTCTTAATTTGTCGGACAAAATCGAAAATCTGGCCCAACTTCGCGATTGTGTTGTGTTCATCAAAATGGTCTGCTGGATGTGAGTGAAAGAACTGCACACAGGGCCTTTCATATATGCAGAGGAGACACCTGATCAATAGCAGATGAGGAGTGTTCGAGACCGCTATGCTGGGACTTGTTTAAGAAATAGCTCGATTCTGTCGTTAGGCGAGGAAGCCCTTTAGGCCATTGTGTCTGTGCTGCTGCTACCTCTTTAAGGGGCTTTACTGATGCCATATACCATCTCATTCCCCACATCCCTTGTGGAATCCTGTAGCTTAGTGGTTAGAGCATTTGCCTCGCAACTGAGAGAACCTGGGTTCGATTCCCAGGCAGGGTGAAACTTTGGGCAAATTTCCTTACTCCACATGTCGCTGTTTACCTAGCAGTAAGTAAGTAAATTGACAAACAACTCAGTTGTTTGTCAATTGGCAGATTGCTTTTCCGGAGGTAATAATCCGTTACTTTTTTTTGTTTAATAATCAATCCTGTTTGTGGGACACTGCTGTGTGCAATTGGTTGCCGTGTTTCGCCCACAAAATGTCAATTAACTTTACAGTATATTTTGTGAAGCCCTTTGAGACGTCTGAAAGTCGTGCTTTATCAAATGCAAGGATTATTATTATCCCTTCACATTATTCGGTGTTCATTTTTAATGGAGTGTTCTGCAAGGATGAGATCAAATGGTCCAAAGGGCCTTTTTCATCAGGACCTTTTATGAGTAATTTATGCCAGGACATTAGATTTCTGACCAGGAGTCATGTGTTTTCAGTCCCTTCCATGCCCTATAATAATAATTTTTGCATTTGATATAGCGCCTTATCACATCGTTGAGATGCCTCAAAGTGCTTCACATATACTGAAACAAAAACAAAGAAAGTGAGTCAACGTTTCAGGTTGCAACTGCGTTCTGACGAAGGGTCATGGACCCAAAACGTTGATTCACTTTCTTTTCTCCATAGATGCTATACCTGACCTGCTGAGTGTTCCCAGCGACTTCTGGTTTTGTTTCAGTATATTCTGTGAAGCGCTTTGAGGCATCTCAACGATGTGATAAAGCTCTATATCAAATGCAAGGATTATTATTGCTGTGAAGCACTTTGAAATGTTTCAATATGATAAAGCATTGTACCTTGTTTCCGGCCTTAATATGTCTTTAATCTGTTCCCTTTCCTGCTTTCAGAAGTGGGAAGGAAAGTGACTCTTATCAGATTGAAGACCAAACCATTGAGGATCGCCTTCGGTTTGTCTGCAACTTTTTAGCACGTAAGTAAAAAGTAATACATAATAAGCTAGAACCTCCTGTGTACACACCCTCAGAAGTGATCTGGACCGTGGTCGATTTCCTCTGAGAAGCTGTTAATGGCTGAATAGCCTGACGTCGACACTACCAACAATATGCACATATTATAATGTGTGTGTATTATATGTATGGCGTTTCACAATGGCGGAGTGCGACGCCGAGCCTGGGAGGGAGTGGGGAGGTGACCGTAAGCGTGGTCGAAGAGGAAGGTCTTGAGGCACGACCTGACGATGGGGAAAGAAGAAGGGAGAGTGTTATAGAGTTTCAGGGCATAATGGTTGAAAGTGAAAATGGCAGCTGATGGTGGAATGGAAGGGGACAAGCAGGAGGCGGGAGGAGTAAGCAGGTAGGGAGGTGCCAGAATATGAAGGGATTTAATTACTAGTGTATTGGATCTTGAAATCCTCCAGGAAGTAGCTTTGATCTTCACTGCACAGGAACAGTGTGTTGTCCACCATTAAAATGAGGATCAAGCTCTGGGCTCAATAAATGAAGGGTCATTTCTTGTGGTAATATGTGTGAGTGAATGGACCTGTGAACTCCCAACTGAAGGATCCAGTAAATACAGACTGAGTTTATCCATCTCCCTATAAAGCACAGCATGTAATGTTTCCTTGTAGGTCAATGCATTAGGAGATATTAGTTAGAGTGGGAGTTTTCTTCCTTTTCCTGTTTTGAATACGTTGTTTGAAGGGATGTGTGGACAGCCCTGCTTATTGAATGACTGGCCCCCCTGCTCTATTTATAGGATCAGAACGCAAGACAAGTCAGCCAGGTAAGAGCACTTCATGTTACCACAGTGACTTTTCAATGGCTGCACTTGACTTGCTGGGCATACGGCTGTTATTTTCAGGCTCTTTTGCAAAGTGTATTAGAAAGACCCACTGCTATTGCTCTGCTACATTTGTGGATATCGTAATCTCTCTCTATATATAAATGATAATAATAATCCTTGCAATTGATATAGTGCCTTATCACAGAATGCACTGCAAAGTTTGTTTTGTGGGCGAAATGTGGCAGCCAATTGCGCACAGCAGTGTCACACAAACAATTGTGGATTGAAGTGACCAAATTATTATTTTTATTTATTTTTTTGAAGGGATTATTACCCCGGGAAATCGATCCGCCAATTTACTAACAACTGGGTTCCTACTTACTGCTGGGTAAACAGGCGTGTGGATAAGGAAACTTGCCCAACATTTCGCCCTACCTGGAAATTGAACCAAGTCTTCTCGCTTGTGAGACAAGTGCTCTAACCCCCTACACTACAGAACTCCATTTTCTATGTGTTGAGGGAAAAAATATTTTTAGAATCGTCAAACCTTACTTCACATAAACCCATTGAGCCATCAAGTCTGTGCTGGCATTTTCGTCATGTGACCTGTAGAGGCTAATCCCACTCTCCCGTTCATTCCCCCCACACCCCATCTAATTATTTTTTCGGAGTCCTGTTAAATTGGTTGAAGCACTCGTCTCTCAAGCGAGAGGACCTGGGTTTGATTCCCAGGCTGGGCCAAATGTTAGGCAAGTTTCATTACTCCACACACCTCTTTACCTAGCAGTAAGTAGGAACCTGATTGTTAGTCGATTAGCAGGTCGCTTTTCCGGGGGAATAATCTGTGAAAAAAAATGCATATAGTATATAAACAAAGATAATTTGATTGCTGAATCAAACTGTTTTTGGTACACTGCTCTGCGCAATTGGCTGCCACATTTCGCCTACAAAATATACAGTCACTAAACTTTACAGTGTATTGTACAGTGTACAGTGTACACTGTGAAGTGTTTTGACATGCCTATTATGTGATAAATCGTTATATCAAATGCAAGGAATATTATTATTTATGCTGATTGACAAATAATAAGTTTATAGCAGAGAATTGCACATTCCAAACATCCTCCGTGTAAAGGAATTTTATCTCCTAAGCTCTGGGTAATTCTCCCTGGACTGCACAGCATCCTGGGACATCTTCCTGATGTGAAAGGTGTTATGTAAATTTGTATATTTGTGTTGGCTGTCTTAAAGTTGTGTTCTGGCTTGCTTGCTTTTTGATAGTCTCGGAATTCAATTTTCTGTGTGTTTTTTTATCTCTCTTTCAATCTGTGACTGATGTCCGCTGTATAAGCAGATGCAAAGTTAATGGAGCTTCAAGTTCTTTCAGTTAAAGTCGCCTGAACCTAGAAATTCAGAGAGAGGATGGCTGCGTGGGTCTAATGCATTTAAACGTTTCATACCTAGAAACGGGAGAGAGGCCATTCAGGCCCTCGCGTCTGTTCTGCCATTCTATTAAGATCATGGCTGATCTGCATCTCAACTCCAACTTCCTGCCCTTGCCCCATAATCCCTTGATATCCTGACCTAACAAAAATCAATCCACCTCAGTCTTGAAAATGGATCCAGCCATATTCTACAGCCTTTTGGGGGAGAGAGAAACTGCTTCCTGATTTCACTCCTAAATGGCCTAGCTCTAAATCGTTTCTTTGAATCTACCCTATCAAATCCCTTCATTATTTTAAAAACCTTAATCAGATCATCCCCCAACCTTCTAAACTTAATGGAATAGAGACCTGGCCTCGTAATTTAACCCTTCCTCCACACAATAAATTTCTCCTTGGAAATGGAGTGTGTGAGATTTCATCATCCTTCAAAAGTGGCCTCCGCTGCAGACAAGCGAGCCTTTTTGACCTCGAAATGTGGACCTTTGTTCACTGACTGTTGTGTGATTAACTGCTGCTCTGGACCTTTTATAGTATAATGATTAGAGCAGTTGCCTTGGAAGCGAGAGAACCCAGGTTCGATTCCCAGTAGGGCGAAACCTTACTCCGCACACGCCTCTGTTTACCCAGCAGTAAGTAGGAATCCGGTTGTTAGTCGATTGCCAGATCGCTTTTCCGGGGGTAAACATTCCTTCAAAAATACAATAGAATAAAAAAAATTGGGTCACTCAATCCATGACTGTTTGTGGGACGTTGCTGTGTGCAATCGGCTGCCATGTTTTGTCCACAAAATATACAGTCAGTTCACTTTACAGTATATTCTGTGAAGCACTTTGAGACGTTGTGAAGAGGTGATAAGGCACTTTATCAAATGCAAGGATTATTATTATTATTTTTACTTTCACTGATCTGCAGAGCACTTCAAATACAACTCATCTGTTGGAGATCTAGTTTCTTGCCAAGAGTTCCTGTACGGAGAGGATGTGGAGCTGGAGGTGGCCAAGGTGAGGTCTGCTTGTCTCTGTGGCCACCCTAATGCCGCTCGGTGTCCGAGGCCCCTCTGGTGGTCAAAGGTAGGCCCCACCCACTGCAGGACTGAGCTACACAGTAGCTCAAATCTTGAATTAAACCAATCTCAGCCAGGTTAAAGGTTGGGGCTTTGGTGCCGTTAGGTTTAGGCTGAAGGGGAATCAGCCATGGCTTGATGGGGACTGTATCCAGCCTGATCTCTGTCCAGATGGAGTCTTGCATCTTCGTGGTTAGAGCTCTCGCCTCGCAAAAAAGAGGGCCTGGGTTCAATTCCTGGTCAGGGCAAAGTTTGGGCAAGTTTCCATACTCCACACACACGTCTGTGTTTACCTAGCAGTAAGTGGGAACCTGGTTGTTAATCGATTGGCGGATTACTTTATTTTTTTGAACGGATTATCTGAAGGGGATAATAATCCCTTCAAAAAAATCAATAAATATAACAATTTGATTTGATTTGATGTATTTGATCACTCAATTCATGACTGTTTGTGGTACACTGCTGTGCGCAATTGGCTGCCGTGTTTCTCTCCGAGCATTTGACAGTGGCGGAGCACAGTGGCAAGCAAGGTAGGTGGGGTGTGGGGAGGGGTGACCGTAAGCACGGTGGAAGAGGAAGGTTTTGGGCGGGCCTGGAGATGGAGCAGGAAGCGGCAAGACAGAGGGATAGAAGAAAAGAGTTCCAGAGAAGAGGACAGCTTCCTCCAGCTCTATGTGCACACCTACGAGGTAGACGTGGGTGAAAGACATGAACTAATCATTGTTTGCTGAGCGGACAGGGCAGAGTTATAGTTATAGAGGTGGTGGGTGTGAAGGACAATTCAATACAAATTTCCAGTTGTACAGTAAAACTCACATAAGTATTTTCAGTTGCATTTACTACAACAACACATTTGTATAGTGATCTGATTTATTCAAAGTACAGGTTATGTCAAATTTACATAAGTCGTATCATATATGACTTGTGTATGTGTTGATCAAATCTCACTTAAACACAAGTACTGTACTGGGTGGTAACATTAAGGCAAGGCCATGTACCATGTTTAACCCCATGCATATTAAAGCTATGGCAATCCTACACAATATAGCACCTTTCATGTCGGGAGGACAACAGCAACACATGACCTTCCACGTCAGTAGTCCGGGATTTGGACCTGATCTGGGGTGGGGAGGGCGAGGGCAGGGATAGTTGGTGTAGGAGGGTGACCGAAGGGGCAGTCGAAGAGGAGGGACTTGAAGGAGGCAAGGGAGGGAGCGAGGTGATGGGACTGTGGGATGGAGTTCTAAAAGGTGGGGGCAGAGAAGCTGAAGGCCCGACTGCTAATGGTGGGACAGGGCGGGCAGGTGATGTGGAGCAGGCTGGAGCCCACAGAGCAGAGGGAGCGGACAAGTTGATAGGATGTCCTGCACAGTACTGTCCAGGGACCCGGCCAGGAGGGCAACTTCAATCCTATTTGCTATGGGATGGAGAGCCAGTGGATTTGAGCAACTTTGTTGTGCGGGGGGAGATGTGGTGATGGGCACTCAGAGCTTGGTGTGGGAGAGGACCAGGGCTACTGAGTTCAGGATGATGTGTCAGCTTGATTTAAATAATAACAGATTCAGAGGTATCTCGTCCTTCCACAAATGTTAGAGATTCACCCACAAAATACACAGTCAATCCACTTTGCAATAGATTTACAATATATGTAGAGTCCTTAGCTTAGTGGTTAAAGCACTTGTCTCACAAGCGAGAGGACCTGGGTTCGATTCTTGGGCAGGGTGAAACACTGGGCAAGTTTCCTTACTCCGCAAGCCTCTGTTTGCCTAGCGATTAGTAGGAACCCAGTTATTAGTTGATTGGCGGATTGCTTTTCTGGGGGTAATAATCCCTTCAAAAAAAAATAATAATTTGGTTACTCAACCCATGTGTGTGTGTGGGACACTGCTGTGTCAAATGAAAGGATTACTATTATTATTGATCACCGTCTTTAATGGTATTTTCAGGTGACTGTTCTCCTCCTCCATTACTACACATTAGCCAAGCATTTGCCGTCTGAGTTTGAGACTCTGGATACACAGACCCAGGTAAAGCAATGTGCCGTTGCTCAGAAAGATAAACACATAGAAACATACAAACAGGAGGAGGCCATTCAGCCCCTTCAGCCTGTTCCACCATTCTATAAGATCATGGCTTATCTGTATCTCAACTGCATTTATCCATCCTTGCCCCATATCCGTTGATACCCTGACCTAACAAATAGATTGCATTGATGGACTTTATACCAAGTTCCTATTCTATCTGTTTGAGTACACATTCATTCAGCCAGTGTCCTGATCTTCCCCCACATTAATAATTCTTCAAAAAATATATGATCACTCAATCCATGACACTGCTGTTCGAAATTAGCTGCTGCATTTCGTCCACAAAATACACGGTGAATTCACTTTACGGTATATTTTGTGAAATGCTTTGAGACGTCTCGAAGCCATAATAAGGCACTATAACAAATGCAAGGATTATTATCGTTAGTGAGAGCTGCTCCTTTCCCAACAGGGTGAGCTGGTGGCCATCCTTCGCTATGTTCTCGACAATGAGGATGGCATTCACTTGGACAATAACCTGTCCACGTTTTTGCGGAGCAGAGGTAAGATTTCCAATGTTCCCAATTTTGAGCAACACATTTTCTGCCTCTCGTTCCTCCTCCGCCAGCCTCCCCTCCACCCCCGACCCCACCTTCAAAAGAGAGTAGAATCCCTTTATCTGGACGCCAGTTAACCCCGGACGCTGGGTAAATCTAACAAAACGCTCAGCACTGATTCATTTGTATTCTTGCCTGTTTTAAATATGTCAGTTAATTTGGACAAAAATCTGGTCAAAATGCCGTGCTGAATGTTCTCACACGGGCCTTCTGTTTGTCGAGCGGCTGCATTCAGCCATCAGGGGCTCCAGGATGGAGATGGGAGGAGTCTAATTGATTGACTGACAGCGAACTCCAGCCATTCACAAGAGGCTGGAGTTGGGCTGTTATTCAGTGAGGGGGAAGAACTAGGGAGACGATGGGTGGAATCAAAATCCTGATTGGTTGACAAAGCTGTCAGTCACTTCAGAGTTGCTGCTAATTGGTCCCCTTCCCGTCCAATGGGAGGGAGGAAGTGCTGCCGCCAATGCTCTGCTGAGCAGGAAGAGGTAAGAGAACTTTGGACGCCTCTTAAACCGGACATAATGGCCGAAAGGCCTCCTACTGTTCCTATGTTTCTGAAATGTAATTGTTTCCCTGAAAGTGCTGTGAGACCTGATGCTTTTCTCTGGTTCCCAGCGACTTCACCTGTTGCCCAGCTGTTCAGCGCCAGCTCGGATGAAGCCGCCTCCCCAATTGTCACCTGGAGAGGAGGAGCACTGAAGACGCAGTTTGCGTCCACATCGAGTGTGTACAGGTCAGCAAGGTGCTTTTCTGAGCCCAGCTTTAATCATGCTCAGTACAGAGGCCAAACATGGCAGTCAATTGCGCACCGCAGTGCCCCACAAATAATCGTGGATTGAGTGACCAAATTATTACATTTTTATGTTTATTACCCCCAGAAAAGTGATCTGCCAATTGACTAACAGCCGGGTTCCTAATTTATATATTAAAACCGGGATAAAGAGAAAGAACCGCCAAGGTAACAGTCTCTACACCCTCTCAGACAATCACGAATTGCCAAACACTGGATTGGAGGAGATCACTGCAGTTTTAAACTACATTCCTTACGATGGCCCAACCTATACATCTACATTTAATACTTGGATTTTATTATTTTTAAAAGGAAATAAAGTAGTGATAAATGATAAATATATTCAAAAATCTTACATCTGCACATCCGAGTCCAGAGTGCCTTTTATTCAAGACAAAATAATTTGAATTTTTTTCATTTCATGCTCCACTCCTCTCCTCTCCCCCATTTGTTCTTTACAATTGTGTAATACTAGCTCTGAATTTGTCGCAATTGCCTGGACAATACAATATATACTTTTATGTGGATTCTTGTAGTGTAGAGGTTAGTGATGAAGTGAGTAACCAATTTATTTCGGCGGATTGTTGGCCAGGGCACTGGAGAGAAAAAAACTTATTTTTTCAAACAGTGGAGTCCTGTAGCTCAGTGGTTAGAGCAATTCCCGAGCAGAGCGAAACATTAACCAAGTTTCCTTACTCCACAACATGATAAAATGGAGTTCTGTAGCTCAGTGGTTAGAGCACTCGCCTCGCAAGCGAGAGACCTGAGTTTAATTCCCGGGCAAGATGATGTTGGCCAAGTTTCCTTACTTCACACGCCTCTGTTTACCTAGAACATAAGAACATAAGAATTAGGAGCAGGAGTAGGCCATTCGACCCTTCGTGCCTGCTCCGCCATTCAATAAGATCAGGGCTGATCTTCTCACCTAACTCTGATTACCTGCCCTATCCCCATATCCCCTAATCCCTCTATTTTTCAAGAATCTATCAGTCTCAGCCTTGAAAATGTTCAAGGACTGAGCATCTACAGCCTTCTGGGGCAGTGAATTCCATAAGTTCACTACCCTCTGAGTGAAGAAATGTTTCCTCAACTCTGTTCTAAGAGGCTGACCCTTAATTTAAGACTGTGACCTCTGGTTATAGATTCTCCTCCCGGGGAAACATACCCTCAGTGTCTACTTTATCAGCCCTTTAAGAATCTTATAAGTTTCAATAAGATCTCCCCTAATTCTTCTGTACTCCAGAGAATACAGCCCCAGTTTATTCAGCCTCTCCTCATAGGTCAGTCCCCTCATCCCAGGAACTAACCGAGTGAATCTACGCTGCACCCCCTCCAGGGCAAGTATGTCCTTTTTTAAATAAGGACCAAAACTGCACACAATACTCTCGGTGCGGTCTCACCAAAGCCCTATACAGTTGCAGCAAGACTTCCCTACTCTTATATTCTAAACCTTTCGAAATGAACGCTAACATGCCGTTCGCCTTCTTAGTTGCTGCTGCACCTGCAAACTAACTTTTTGGGACTGGTGTACAAGGACACCCAAATCCCTTTGAATACTAACTCTATCTAACTTCTCCCCTTCCAGAAAATAATCTGTTCTTTTATTCTTGCTACCTAGGTGAATAATTTCACACTTGCTAACATTGAATTCCATCTGCCACCTACTCGCCCACTCCCCGAGCCTATCTATATCTTGTCACAATCTTTTTGCATCATCCTGAGAGCTCACTCTGCTACCAAGTTTAGTATCATCCGCGAATTTAGACACATTACATTCAATGTCCTCGTCCAGATCATTGATGTAAATGGTAAATAGCTGAGGCCCAAGCACTGATCCTTGTGGCACTCCACTAGTTACATCCTGCCAATTCGAGAATGATCCGTTTATCACTACTCTCTGCTTTCTACCCGATAGCCACTCTTCTATCCATGTTAATATTTTCCCATTAATCCCGTGGGCCTTGATCTTGAGTAACAGCCTTTTGTGTGGCACCTTGTCAAATGCCTTCCTAAAATCCAAATATACCACATCTACTGGTTCCCCCTTATCCAACCTGCTGGATACATCCTCAAAAAATTCTAAAAGGTTAGTCAAGCATGACTTCCCTTTTGTAAAGCCATGTTGACTCTGCCTAATCTTTTTATGGTCTTCCAGGTATCCCATAACTACGTCTTTTATTAAGGACTCAAGAATTTTCCCTACAACTGACGTCAAACTAACTGGTCTATAGTTTTCCCTATTTTCTCTCCCACCCTTCTTAAATAGTGGAGTTACGTTTGCAATCTTCCAATCAATGGGAACTTTTCCAGTATCCACAGACTTTTGGAAGATTATAGACATGCCATCCACTATCTCAGTAGCCACCTCCTTTAAAACTCTCGGATGCAGGCCATCCGGTCCAGGGGATTTATCGGTTTTAAGACCCGACAATTTACCTAGAACCATCTCTTTACTAATGTTAATCTCCCTAAGTTGCTCGCTAACATTGTCTTCTTGGTCCTCTATTTTTGGTATGTTTCCAGTGTCTTCTACGGTGAAGACTGTAGAAAAATACTTGTTTAATGACTCTGCCATGTCTTTGTCCCCTATTATAATTCCTCCGGTCTCTGCCTGTAATGGACCCACATTCACCCTCGCTAGCCTTTTCCTCTTTATATATTTGTAAAAACTCTTGGAGTCTGTTTTTATGTTCTTTGCTAGTTTGCCCTCGTAATCTATTTTCTCCCTCTTGATCAATTTTTTGGTCCTCCTCTGTTGTTCCCTAAAGTTCTCCCAATCCTCGGGTTTACTACTCATCTTCGCTGTTTTATAGGCTTTTTCTTTTGATTTGATACTTTCCCTAACTGCTCTAGTTAGCCATGGCTGCACCACCTTTCCCATGGCATTCTTATTCCTCAAAGGAATATGTGCTCGTTGGGAATTTTGCACTATCTCCTTGAATGTCTGCCATTGCTGGTCTACCGTCAAATCTTTAAGTTTAGTCTCCCAGTTTATTCTGGCTAAATCCTCTCTCATACCAGCAAAGTTGGCTCGATTTAAATTGAAGACTTTTGCTTCAGACTTAACTACTTCCCTCTCTAACTTAACGCTAAATTCCATCATATTATGATCGCTTTGCCCGAGAGGAGCCTTAAGTTCCAGTTTGCTGATCAGCCCTGTTTCATTACACAAAACAAGGTCTAATATGGCTTGTTCCCTGGTCGGCTCCTCAGCATATTGATCTAGAAAATTATCTCTAATACATTCTATAAACTCCTCTTCTATGTTACCTTTCCCAATTTGGTTGTCCCAGTCTATGTGCAGGTTAAAATCACCCACAATTAGTGTCTTTCCTTTGCTACATGCTCCACTAATCTCTTGATTTATACCTTGAGCGATACTTTGACCACTGTTTGGGGGTCTATAAACTACTCCCACTATAGTTTTCTGCCCCTTGAAGTTACGTATCTCTACCCATACTGACTCTACATCTTGCTTTTCAGATTTAAAATCTTTCCTCTCTACTGTTTTTATCCCATCCTTTATTAGCAGGGCCACTCCCCCTCCTCGTTTACCACATCGCCTATCTTTCCTATATACCACGTAGCCGGGAATATTCAGTTCCCATCCCTGATCACCCTGTAACCATGTCTCGGTGATGGCTACTAGATCATACCGGTTTGTCTCTATTTGTGCAACTAATTCATCTATCTTGTTACGAATGCTTCGTGCATTCAGATATAGCGCCTTTAATTCTGACTTCCGGCTATTAACCCTATTCACCAGCACTCTATCACTGTACTTCCTTTCCCGGCTTGACACACTTTGCTCTTCTCCCTTGTTAATCTGCTCTCTTGCTTTTGTTGATCTCAAGTTTAACTGTGGTGGACTATACTTTACTATGTTTTTACCTCCCCCCCCCCCTTAGTAGTTTAAAGCCCTTTCTACCTCCCTATTTATTCGCGTAGCCAGGACATTTGTCCCAGCCCTATTTAGGTGGAGCCCATTCCTTTGGAAAAGCTCCCATCTTCCCCAATACTCGTGCCAGTGGCCCATGAATTGGAATTCCTGCTCTCCGCACCACTCTTTTAGCCAGGCATTCAGATCTATGATCTTCTTTTGCCTGTACCAATTAGCTCCTGGCTCAGGTAACAGTCCCGATATCATCACTTTGGAAGTTCTATTCCTTAGTTTAATTCCCAATTCCCGGAACTCGCTCCTTAACTCGTCCCTACTGGTCCTACCAATGTCATTGGTCCCTATATGTACCATTACGATTGGATCCTCTCCCTCATGCCTCAAATTTATCTCCAGCCCGGCGGTGACATCCTTCACCCTGGCCCCAGGAAGACAACAGAGTCTTCTTGTCTCCCTGCTACGGCTACAGAAAACTGTATCAGTCCTCCCGACTGTCTCATCCCCAATAAGAATTACATTTTTAACCTCCTGCACAGGGGTGTTGGGGTCAGTTTGCCCGTCTTCCTCGCAGATTTCCTTGTCCACACAGGTTGCCAATATTTCATACCTGTCAGACAAGGCTAAAGTCTGGGATTCTTCAGCCCCTCTCTTTCGGGAACGCTTGCCTGCCCGCCTGACTGTCACCCAGTCATGTCCGTCGCTGCTACATTCTTCTGCCTTGGGACTCAGGGGAGTGTGCGGCTCCAGGATAAAGCTGTCCAGGAAGTTTTCTCCATCCCTAATGCTGTGCAGCATCTCCACCTGAGACTCCAGCTCAGCTACTCTCAGCTGGAGCTCTCTGATTTCCAGACACTTGCGGCAGACGAAGTCGCCCGGACTTAAGGCGCCCTCCATTGACTCCCACAGTTTACCCGCCACACCATCTTCACAAACTTTGTATAGATACAAAGATATATAGCCTGCCCCCACTTCCCCCTCTGCACCTAATTCCCACTCTCACCAAATTCCCTCACACTCTGGCCTCACTCTAGACGTAGCTCGTGTGAGGTTCTCGCAGCTATCTCCCATTTATACTTTCTGGGTGCAACCCGTTTCTGATTTGCTCAGCAGTGATTTGGAATTAACGCCTAATTAAGTGATTAATCAATAAGTTAATTTAATCAATAAGTTATTTGTTATTGGCTCAGCTTAATTGGCTACAGCTGCTCCCTGTAAAGTTACCCCACAAGACCAATGTACCAATGGTATCAGCAATTTTAAATAACACAGGAATTAAAACAACAACAACTACTACAAGACTTGAATAACAACAACAACAAATCGGGTTATGTACTCACAATAGCAGTTTTCACAACACTCACAGCAGCAATTCCCACTCTCACCAAATTCCCTCACACTCTGGCCTCGCCTTACTCCGGATGTAGCTCACTCTGGGCTCTCGGCTCGAGAAGTAAGTAGGAACCCAGTTGTTACTCGATTGGTGTTTCATTTTCTGGGGATAATAATTCTTTCATAAAAATAATAATAAATTGGTCACTTCAACCCATGATTGTTTGTGGGACGCTGCTGTGTGTAATTGGCTGCCCAGTTTCACCCACAAATATACAGTCAATTTACTTCACAGTATGTTTTGGGAAGCGCTTTGAGACGTCTCGAAGATGTGACAAGCTGCTGTATCAAATGCAAGGATTATTGTTATATCGATTGCAAGTATTTTTATTATTATTTTAAGTAAGGAAACCTTGACTTATCTGGGATGTTGCTGTGGTTTACTCTCTCTGTTCTGTTCACTGCCTGACACCTGATGTGTCCACACTGCAGTTACGTGCCGTCCGGTTCCCCCACATCACCGATGCGGGACTTCATCCGGACGCCACAGGTTCAGATGCGCCGTCTTAAGACACAGCTGATGGACATCAGGACACTTCGGGATGAGCTGGAGATCGAACTGACAGAAACCCGGAAACAAGTCACAGAGAAAGGTACCCCAAGGATGGGCAGATCACATCACATCAGTTCATGTCTCCCAGTGAGACACCTTGGCTAATCTGTCTGCTTCTCTCCCCCAATACACACATCATACACACCACATGCGTACACCACAAGTTTACACCATGCGTGCACCACTCACGCACATACCACACATGCAGCGCACACCTCGCACGCGCAGAACACACACGCACACCATGTGCGCACCTACACCATGTGCACACACCGTATACCACACACATGTATACCACGGACATACACACGTACACCACAGACATACACGAGTATACACACGTGCGCAGGTACACCACGTGCGCGCGTACACGCCACGCGTGCACACACCACGCACGTACATCACATATGGATAGTGCCACTACCTTATAGGACAATATAGATTATAATAGTACTGTAGCTCAGTGGTTAGACCACTCGCCTCACGAGTGAGTGAACCCAGGTTTGATTCCTGGGCAGGGTGAAACGTTGGGCAAGTTTCCTTATTCCACAAGACTCTGTAAACAATAAGTTTGCAATAAGTAATAAGTAAGTAATAATTACAATAAGTAGGACTCCGGTTGTAGGAGTCGATTGGCGGATGCTTTTCTGGGGGTAATGATTACTTCAAAAAAAAATATGGTCACCAATCCACGACTGTGTGTTTGGAACACTGTTTGCAACTCGCTGTTGTGTTTTGCCAGAAAATGTACAGTCAGTTCACTTTACAGTATAGTCTATGAATTGCTTTGAGATGTTTGGAAGACACGATAAGGCGCTATATTGAATACAAGGATTGTTTATTGCCTTTCCACCACAGCATATAATTCAACAGCTGATTTTAAGATGTTGCTCACCCCCACGCTGGAGCTTTCTATTCTAATCCCATTCCCCAACTATTCCCCCATCAATCTCTTCAAAAATATTTTTTTTAAAAATAAAGAGAACAAAAACAATTTGTTTCACTCAATCCACAACTGTTTGTGCGATGCTGCTGTACGCAATTGGCTACCGCGTTTCACCCACAAATATATAGTCGATTCACATTACAGTATATTCTGAGATGTCTCAATGACGTGATACTGCACTGTATCAAAATGCAAGGATTATTATGTTATTAAATATCCTTTAATATTTGGATTGCTTGGGTGTTTGTGCTTTATTTATTGATTTAGCTCTGTGTTTTACAGACACCCAGATTTCAATCCTCCAACAACGCATCGACCGTCTGGTGAAACTGACTGAGAGTCAGGCCAACCAGAAGGAGCCTGGAGAGCTTGTGTCTCTGCGGGAGAGCAATGAAAGGTAGCACTTCCTGTAAATCCAGCTGTGCCTTCCCCAAACAACTGTATTTTTATAGCACCAAGCTCGGTGACCCTATCATTCCCAACCTCTGCTGGCTCCACTGGCTCCCCATCCTATCATAGAATCTTACAGCACAGAAGGAGGCCATTCAGCCCATTGTGCCTGTATCAGCTCTTTGAAAGAGCTACCAACTAGTCCCACTCCCCCGCTCTTACTCCAATAGCACTGCACATTCTTCCTTTTTAAGTACCTATCCAATTCCCTTTTGAAGGTTATTATCGAATCTGCTTCCACCACCCTTTCAGTCCGTGAATTCCAGACCATAACAACTTTCTGGGTTAAAAAAAATGTCTCTTTGTCTCCCCTCTGGTTTTTTTGTCAGTTACCTTAAATCTGTGTCCCCGGTTACTGACCAACCCGCCAGGAGAAACAGTTTCTCCCTATTTACTCGTATCAAAACTCCTCATTATTTTGAACACCTCTATTAAATCTCACCATAACCTTCTCTAAGGAGAACAATCCCAGCCTCTCACCTTAAAGCCGTTTAGTCCACATAATTGTAGTCCCTCATCTCTGATATAATTCTGATAAATCTCCTTTGCACCCTCTCGAAGGCCCTGACATCCTTCCTAAAGTGTGATGCCCAGAACTGGCCACAGTACTCCAGCTGAGGCCTAACCAGAGGATTTTGAAATCCTTCTCCTTGCTTTCAATGCCCTCCACAACCCTTTCAATCCTAACGACCCTTTTTCTAGGTAAATACAGCAGTATGATCCCGTAAACAGACATAAGAAAGACGTGAGCCCACAAAATACACGTCAGTTCACTTTACAGTATATTCTGTGAAGCGCTTTGAGATGTCTCGAAGACGTGATAACGAGCTATATTGAGTGTAAGGATGATTATTATTATTATGAGAAGGACAAATAAATCCAATCTGCTGCTCAGGTTAACAGGAGAACCTCTTCTCTTTTTTTTTNGGCCCGTGAACAGACCTCTGTTTAATGGGACTCAAAGGATGGTTCTTAAAAGAGCGTAGCCGTGATGGGCTAGATGGCCTCCTGTGTAGATCTGTAAATCTCTATGGTTCTACGTCTCGTTTGAAAGACGGCACCTCCCAACAATACAATGCTTTGCCCAGTACTTTGCTGAAGTGTCCTGCAGCTTAATGGTTAGAACACTCGCCTCACAAGCCAAAGGACCTGGGTTCAATTCCTGGCAGGGTGAAACCTTAGGCAAGTTTCCTAACTCCACACACCTTTTTTTCTACCTAGCAGTAAGTAGGAACTCAGTTGTTACCTTGATTGGCTGATCGCTTTTCCAGGTGTTATAATCCCTGCAAAAAAAAAAATAATAATTTGGTCACTCAATCCACGACTGTTTGAGGGACGCTGCTGTGCGCAATTGGCTGCTGCGTTTGGCCCACAAAATATACAGTCAATTCACTTTACAGCATATCCTACGAAAGGACGCTTTGAGACATCTCGAAGACGTGATAAGGCACTATATCAAATGCAAGGATTATTATATTTTATCATTATGTTAGTGTTATTATTATTGTATTTTATTATTATAGCTCAGTCACTGACACACCAAAGTGAAACCTAGATCTCCAAATGTGAGAGGAGCAGCAGATAATTAGTATTATTTTATAACTCTGGGGACTATGCAGAGGGACTGAGATGGCTTTTTCCAGTCCTATACCGTCCACTCTAACTGTCATACGTCCTTTATTCTCTCCTCACAGTTTGCTGACTCGTTTGCGGGACATTCAGAAGCAGTGTCAGGACCTGAAAACAGAGAAGACCCAGATGGAGCGAAAGATTGACAAACTTGAGGAAGAAAATGGTGATCTTTCTTATAAGGTACCAGCTGGCACAGGGGACAGGAACTCCATCCCACAGTCCCTTCACCTCACTCCCTCCCTTGCCTCCTTCAAGGTCCTCAAGACCATCCCCTTGGACTGTGCCTTTGGCCACCCTCCTGATCCCAATCATCAGCTCAGGTGCGGATCCCTGACTACCTTAGGATGTCCTCCTGACTTGTAAATGTCATTTGTTGTTGTCATGAGATCTTTAAAGTCCACCTCAACAGGCACTTTGGTTTAATGTCTCAGCCAAAGGACGACATTTCAGACATTGCTTACCCCGTGTCATCTTAGACTTGAGTTCCAGGTTCTGACATTGGAGCTTGAACCCACAACCTTCTGGTTCCCAGGCGCCAGAGTTACTGACTGAGCCAGGCTGACGCACACAGCTTGTTTATACATCACATGGCATGGTGTCATTACCACGGCAACATTATTGACCTGTAAGTCGGCCGTTTTGTTGTCCGTGGTTACTAAAAATGGGGAGGGCAGAAAGTCAAGTCTCTTCGTCAAATTAAAAACAAAATGAAAACTAATGATCTTAGTTATAACAACAACAACAATTTGTATTTACACAGCACCCATCAGGCAGAATTACGTTTGTGTAGCACTTTCACATGGGGAGTACATCCCAAGATGGGGAAGGAGGGGGCAAGGCGGAGGGTTAGATGGAGAGAGTGACAGAGTCTTGGGTCGAAGTAGCTGCAAGTGCGTTCCCCAATGGTGGAACAGAGGGCAGGAAGGACAAGCAGGAGGCTGGAGGCAGCGGGTTGTGGGTTGGTGAGTGGCAGGTCGGAGAGATAAGGAGGTGCCAGGGTATGAAGGGATTTGAAAACACGTGAGAGAGTCTTGAAATAATAAACTTTCTCTGTACCCCTCCCTCCTGCAGGTGCGGGACCTGGGCAGCCACCTGCGTCAGTCCCAGAAAGCCCTAAATGAATTGGCTGACGAACACGAGACAGCAGTGCCTCTATGGGAAGGCAAACAGAAAGAACTGGAAAGGGAGCTCACTGGTGTTCTCATTGAGAAGGTAAGAGCTTCTCCTGTATGTGAGTCAGGGGCTTGTGCTTATAGAATCATAGAATATTACAATGCAGAAGGAGGCCGGCCATTCTGCCCATCGTGACTCTGGAAGAGCTACCCAATCATTCCCACTCTCCTGCTCTTTCCCCATATCCTTGCAAGTTTTCCTTTTGAAAGTTGTTATTGAATCTGTTTCCACCAGCCTTTCAGGCCATGCCTTCTTAGGTGCCAGAATATGAAGGGATTTGAAAATGTGTGAGAGGATTGTGGGAATATTCCCAGTTTTTTACACTTGCTAGGGAGAGGTGGGGGTAAAAGTGAGGCAGGGGGGCCAAAGCCAAAATGGGTCTCAAACTGCTCAACCAGGAGGAACATTAAAGAGTTTGTGAGGAGCGGCCTTGCTGTAGACACAGCGAATAACCCTTGCTGGACCGAAGGGCTTTAAGACTAGAGAAGCTGGGATTATTCTCCTTGGAGCAGAGAGGGTTGAGGGGAGATTTAATAGAGGTGTTCAAAGTAATGAGGGGTTTTGATAGAGTAGATAGGGAGAAACTGCTTCCTCTGGCGGGTGGGGCAGCAACCAGGATACAGATTTAAGGTAATTGACAAAAGAACCAGCAAAAGACGAGACTTTTTTTNAACCCAGAGAGTTGTTGCGGTCTGAAATGCACGGACTGAAAGGGTGGTGGAAGCAGATTCGATAATAACCTTCAAAAGGGAATTGGTAGGCACTTGAAAAGGAAGAATTTGCAGGGCTATTGGGGCAAGAGCGGGGGAGTGGGACTAGTTGGTGGCTCCTTCAAAGAGCTGACACAGGCACGATGGGCTGAATGGCCTCCTTCTGTGTTGTAAGATTCCATGATTTCTGGGCTTTTAACATTATGTAATCGTATGAGTATAAGTGGAGGATATTGAAGAGTATTTTTTTGGAGGGGAGAGGAGACGGGAATGGGGACTGCAAGTCTTTTTCATTCCAAACAGATGATAATGTAACATCAAGCACATGAACTATGTTCACTCTTGTTCGAGGTCCATCTCTTTCACTGCACATTTGGTCATCGTTCCCCCCATCCCTTCTACCCTTAACTCCCACCGTCAGCTTTTGTTCCAAGACTGTTAAATGCCTTGGGATGTCTTCTTCTTAATAATAATAATCCTTGCATTTGATACAGCGCTTTATTACGTCTTTGAGAAGTCTCAAAGCGCTTCACAGGGTACACTGTAAGTGAGTTTACTGTATATATTTTGTGGGCGAAACACGGCAGCCAATTTGCGCACAGCAGTGTCCCACAAAGAATAGTGGATTGAGTGACCAAGTCATTATTTTTATTTTTTGAAGGGATTATTACCCCCGAAAAATCAACCAATTGACCAACAACCAGGTGCCCACTTAGTACTGTACTGGGTAAACAGAGGTGTGTGGCGTATGGAAACTTGCCAAGGGTCTTGCCCCACCCAGTAGTCGTACCTGGGTCCTCTTGCTTGTGAGGCGATTGCTCTAACCACAACGCTACGGGACTCCAGGTGTAAATTTGTATTGTGTGGAACTCCCATTATAAATGTGGGTCGGGGCAGAGAGGGAGTTGATCTGACGAATGTTCATTTTTTTTGTGTGTGGCAGAAATGTTTGGAGGAAAAGCTACAGATCCTGGAGGGGAAACTGTCCATACTGGAGGACCAGTTGAAGGCGGCTGGGGAAACCCACAGTGGCTCCAAAGGAGAGGTTATGGGTGATGTTCTCCAGGTAGGAGCCCTGGTTTATAAACCTATCCTCCCTCATTATTTCATAGGAAAGGAGGAGGCCATTCAGCCCCTCGAGTCTGTTCTGCCATTTTATTAGATCATGGTGATCTGTACCGCAAATCCAATTACCCACCTTTGCCCCAATATCCCTTGAAACCCTGACCTTACAAACATCTATCCACCAATGGACAATGTGAATGGATCCAGCCATAATCCATAGCCTTTTGGGGAGAGAGTTCCAGATTCCCACTACCCTTTGTATGAAAAACTGCCTCTTGATTTCACTCCTAAATGGCCTAGCGCTAATTTTAAGATTATGCTCCCTTGTTCTTGATTCCCCCAACAGAGGAAATAGTTTTTTTTTGTAGCTACCCTATTGGAATCCTGTTATTTTAAAAAACCCTCAACCTTCTAAACTCGAGGGAAAACAAGACACATTTATAATAATAATCCTTGCATTTGATACAGCGCCTTATCACGATTTCAAGACGTATCAAAGTGCTTCACAATATACTGTAAAGTGAATTAAATTGATTATATATTTTTGTGCATGAAACACAGCAGCCAATTGTGCACAGCAGTGCCCCACAAATAGTCGTGGATTGAGGAACAAATTATTATTTTGTTTTGAAGGCATTATTGCATCCAGAAAAGCGATCCACCAATCCACTGACAACCGGGTTCCTACTTAGTGCTGGGTAAACAGAGGTGTGCGGAATAAGGAAACTTGCCCAACGTTTCGCCCTGCCCAGGAATTGAACCCGAGTCCTCTCGCTTGCGAGGCGAGTGCTCTAACCACTGAGCTGCAGGACTCCACAATGTGATATTTTGGTACATTTGATAACCGTCTCCTCTTACACTCCCTCCTTCCGGTTGCAGTTGGAAGCTCTGAAACAGGAGGTGTGGCAGCTGAAGGGCAAGGTTAGTGAGCTGGAACAGGAGAGAGTACAGCATGGAGAGGAACAGCAGCGTCTGAGTGAGAGAATGGCCGGCCTGCAACAGGCCAATGGGGACATGGCCCTTGAGAAGGCTTTGCTGGAGGAAGCTAACCGTGCTCGAGACGAGCAGCTGGACCTGCTGAACGCCGAGATGGGGAGCCTGAAACTTGCTCTGACACAGAAGGAGCTGGAGTTGGAAACGAGAAACCAGCAGGCAGGGGAGTGGGCAGAGCGCGAGCGGTCCGCATTGAACACTGCGCTGGATCTCAGCTCCAAGCTCGCTTGCCTAGAAGAAGCCTTGAGATCTAAAGAGGAGGCAGTGGCTGGCTTCAGGCAGGAGGTGGAGGCGGAGAGAGCAAGCCAGGTCCAACAGCTAGCTGCTATGCAGGAAGTGTCGCAGAGAGTTTTAAGCGAGAAGGAATCTGTGGTGCTGCAGTATACTGCCTTGAACATCTCAAAAGAAATAGATGTAGCGGCTTTGGCTCAGCAGGTTGAGAGGTTGGAGGGTGACCAGGCTGTTAACCTGGAGGTTATCACTGACTTGCAACAAGAGAGGAACGAGCTGACGGGGAGGATACAACAGCTAGACACCAAGGTACTGAATGCAGAGTCAAAGCTGCAGGACCTTCAGGCCACCTTTGAGATCCAGAGCCAGGCTCAGTTGGAGGAGATACAGTCTCTCACACTGAAGGTGAGGGAGGCTGAGAGCCAGGTGGAAGCTGGCAAAGGGGAAGCAGCCGAGAGCCGAAGGGAGCGAGATCAGCTGAAGAGCCAGCTCCGTGCCGGCCAGGATGCACTCACGGACCTGCGAGGGACTCTGGAAAAGGAGAAGCAGCAGGTGACCGAGCTGGAGAGTCGGATTGGGGAGCTGGCTCAAGAGCGGGAGAGAGCGCGGGCGGAGTTGTCGGAGGAAGTGGAGCGGAGGGCAGAGGCTGAGAGGTATTTCCAGCAATCGGCCAGCCAGCAAGCGGAGGCAATGGCCAGGCTACAGAGCGAGCTCACCAGTGCTCTGGCTCTAGTGAAGCAGAAGCAGGGAGAGGAGGAGAGACTCCGGGGCGAGGCTACCTCCTGGCAAGGGAGGTGTGAGGCGGCTCGAGAGGAGGGAGCTCGCAGCCTCTCGCATATGGAGGCAGCGGTTCTGCAGCTGAAGGGAGAAGTGGAAAGAGCACAGGCCGAGCTGGGGGGAGAGAGGGAGAGGAGCAGGGGGCTGGAGCTGAGGATTGCACAATTGAGCTCCGAAGGGGAGGAGAATGTGGCCAGGGTACAGAGGGAGCTGTCCGCTGCTCTCTCCCAGGTCAAAGCCAGAAAGGGAGCAGAGGAGCAGGCGTTTGGGGAAGCAGCAGCCCTGAGGGAGAGGCTGGAGCAGGCCCAGCGGGAAGCTGCTGAGCACCTGGCACAGGTACGGGAGGAGGTGAGGAGAGCAGGGGAAGAAGGCGATAGTGCCCGTCGGGAGCTCTGTGAGGAGCGTGCCCAGGCCGAGCGGGCGAAGGCAGTGGAGGCTGAACGACTGGCGAGGATCTCCGCTCTCGAGCAGGATATTGCCAGTGTGAGTCAGGCCCTGAAGGAGAAGGAGACCCAAGGAGAGAGATGGTGTGGGGAAGCTGGGGCCCTGAGGGCTGAGCTACAGGAGCTGAGAGCAGCTCAGGCTGAAGCCCAGGAGCAGGCCCGGGGAGCACTGGAGGAGAAGGTCCGAGCCCAGGCTGAGCTGCAGGAGGAGAGGCTGGGCAGAGTGTCCCTGGTACAGGCTGCCGAGGAGCAGCAGCACAAACTGAGCGCTGTGCAGGGGCAACTCGCCAGGGCTCTCACCAACATTCAGGACCGGGAGACAGAGGAGAAGCGGCTCCTAGCTGAGGCCGAGATGTTGCTAAAGGAAACAAAACTCCAGCAGGAGCGGCTCAGCGGGCTCCAGGGGGAGGTGGTGGCAATTGGGGAGCTCAGAGCCAAGTTGCTGGCACAGGAGCAGGAGACCCAGCGCTGTCAGGACCTTGCCAACACCAGAGAGCAGCAGGTCCACCATCTCCTGACCAAGGTCAAGGCTGGCGAGGACGAGGTGGAGCGGTGCAGACATGAGGCCACAATGGCCGAGAGCCAGCTGGCAATATCTCGCCAACTCTGCCAGGAGAAGTTGGAGGAGAGCCAAGAGCTCGGGGCTCAGGTAACGAAGCTGACCCTGAGCTGCGAGCAAAAGCAAGGCGTCATTGCGAGACTGGAGAGCGAGCAAGCCAACCAGGGCGTGCGGAGCCAGGAGGAGAGGGCCGTACTGGAGGCAGAGGTAGCCAGGGCACTGAGCGGCCAGAAGGAGAGAGAACTGTTGGTAGAGGCTTTGAAGGAAACAATGGCGGCGCAAGAGCAGACAATCGAGAGGCAGAGGAGCCTCATTCACACCCTCGAGCTGGAGGTCTCCAGCTTGCAATTGAAACATGCTGAGGTGGAGCGGGCGAACAAAAGCTTGAGAGAACATGTGACAGTGGAGCAGGAGGAGGGCAGGAAACTGCAAGAGATGATCGAGACCCTGAAGGTCAAGGTGGCTTCAGTCTCTGCAGACGCCCTGAAGAAAGCTGAGTTGCTGGACTACACGGTGTGTGAGGTGGCTTCCTTAAAACAGGAGATTGCTGGGCAGAAAGTGGGTCTAGAGAACCTCGAGAGGGAGCTGGCGAGCGAGAGAGAGTGCAAGGAAGAGGTGGTGAATGAGGCAAGGGCTGAACATGACCGGCTCCTGGCACTGGAGGGGGACCTGGGCACCTCGCGGGAGGAGCTGGCACAGGCTCAGGCAGACCTGGTATGTCAGTCCAGGAAAGCTGCAGACTTCCACACCCAGCTGACCACCTTGCTGCCCCTCCAGGCCAAATGCCACGAGCAGGACACGGCCATCCAGCAGCTGCAAGCCCAGAGCCTCAGCCAGCAGGAGCGAGTGTCTGAGCTCCAGAACAGTAACAGCCAGCTGATGAATGAGCTGCATGTCCAGGCCAGCCGCAGCCAGAAGGCCCTGGAGGAGCAGAGGGTCGAGGTGCAGGCAGCACACACACTGCAGACAGCAGACTATGAGGAACAGCTGGCGACCAGCAGAGCCAGTGAGCAGAAGCTGAGGGATAGCCTGCAGGACATGACCGGCAAATACAAACACGCAAGAGCTGAAGTGGACTATCAGCGACAGTTTCAGGAGGAGCAGCAGAAACTGGCTCAGGTATTTAATAATATCGCTCCCCGACTGGAGCTCTCTATTGTAATCCCATTCCCTGCTCTCTCCCCATCGTGTCTGTGCTGGTGCTCGCTCCCCACTTGGAGCTCTCTAATCTAATCCCATTCCCTGCTCTCTCCCCAATCCTCCACGTTAAATGTTTCGACAATCTGTTTGAAATGAGAGCTTGTGTTGTGTGCTATTGAATCTGATGCTCTGTCTTTGAGGAGGAGCTGTAGGAGCAACTGGTGATGGCAAGCCAAAAGATAAGACATTTGATGGAAGTTGAACGAGCTGCATGTCCCTTCAAATCCTCTCAGTTCTCGTTGTCCTTAAAACAGAGAGCACGGCCTGAGGCCATGTGTTGCTGGTACATGGGGAATAGCCGCTTGGTTTGTTGAGAACAAACTAGATTGAAAGCAATTCAATCATTATCAAAATTGGGTGAGATTGGATTGTCAGAAGTATTTCATATTGCACTTGAGTAGTAACATCAATTACAAAGAACGTACAGCATGGAAACATGCCACTGGGTCCCATCAGCCCCAGTTTATATGCAACCCAGTCCTTACTCCCTCCCACACATTTCTAGTCCCCCCTCCCTCATGTAAAGAGCTAGCTTCCTCTTGAAGCTAGATATGCTGTGTAGCCCAGTGGTTAGAGCACTCGCCTCGCAAGCAAGAGGACCCAGGTTCGATTCCCCAGAAGGGAAAAACGTTGGCCATGTTTCCTTACTCCACACGCCTCTGTTTACCTGCAGAAGTACCAGGTGAGGCTGGCCTTGGAGCAGAGGGCTAGGCTGGGTGTCTGACACATGCAGAAACCCATCATTGATTCAGAGTATCCAAACCAAGCTGAGAGGTCTGGGCTGTCGGCGGTGGGTAACTTTACTGATGCAAGTGACCACTATGGGTGGTCGGGCCTTTAGCCGCTCTCGCCCCACCCTTTGGAACCCATCCCACAGTCCCTCTGCCTCGCTCCCTCCTGCAAGGCAAATCTTAAGATTCTCCTTGACAACTGCCCCTTCGGTCACACTTCCCTCTACCCGATCCCAATTCCAGCTCGGGTGCACATCCCTGACTGTCCAGCATCTTGGGCAGAGGATTCCTGACGTGAAAGGTGCTGTGTAAATGTCATGTGTTGTGCACTTGTCCTCACTCCTATTCTCTTCTAACCCTACAGTTAGATGGTGACAATCTGAGCTGCTTAGCCTTGAGACCGTTATGTCAGCATTTAAAATTAGGCAGAGATTTGGCTTTTTGGTCCTCATTTGGTTGAAAGTTTTGTTTATAAGAGCTGGCTATGGAAAGTGGACTTAAGTTCCCGTTTGCCCTGTGTCGTGCTCTGCAGACCCTTGAGAGTGAGACTGAGAAGAGAGCAGAACAGCAACAGCAACGGGTGGTGGAGCTGACCGAGAGGCTGCGGAAGGCAGAGGAGGCTACGCAGCACTACAAGGCCCAGGTTAGCCCCTGGCTTTATCACCTGGATGGGGGTGGGTAAGCAGGGTCTACTCGGGGCTGAACTGGTTCCATGACTGTATGTGGGACGCTGCTGTGCGCAATTGGCTGCCGCCCACAAAATAAACAGTCACTGCACTTTACAGTGTGTCCTGTGAAGCACTTTGAGCTGGCTCAACGACATGATAAGGCACTGTATTAAATGCAAGGATTATTATAATAATAATAATTACCTTCAAAACACTCTACGGCCTTGCTCCTTCCTACCTCTGTGACCTGCTAACCCCATATCAAACTGTCCACTCCTTCCACTCAGCAGGCTCCAGCCTACTCCATATCCCCGACCCGGCCCATCCCACCATCAGTGGTCAGGCCTTCAGCCTCTCTACCCCCACTCTTTGAAACTCCATCCCACAATCCCTTCACTTCACTCCCTCCCTCGCCTCCATCAAGGCACGTTTCAAGACTGCTCTTCAACCGTGGCTTCGGCCTCTCTAACACCCCCCCCGCCCCCCGCTTGGGTCCAAATCCCTGACTGCCCAACGCCTTGGGATGTCCTCCCGACATGTCATTGTTATTATCTTCACAGCTGGAGAAGGCGAAGACTCACTATGATAGTAAAAAGCAGCTGATCCAGGAGCTGAGTGAAGAGCTGGTGGGGGCCAGGCAAGAGGTCGCTGGCCTACGGAGCGAGACTGAGCGGCTCAACAGGGAGCTGCAGCTGTCCCTGACCCAGTCTAAGGAGGCCACTGAGCAGAACAAGGCCCTTTGCACCCGAGTGCTCAGCTTGGAGAGCCAGGTAGCCAGCACCCATTCGCCCGCTCTGCTAGTCACTGGGGTTAGCAGGAGTAGTGGCTTAGCTTAGCGCAGGGTACATAAGGAGATGGGCTTACCTCCCTTGCAGACTGCAGTAACAGACAGTAATATTTCCATTCTCCACGGTACGTCCCCCCAACCACCGGTTCCTGCCGTTGCCCTCTGCTTTCACTTCACTAGATTAATCCTGTGGTTTAGTGGTTAGAGCACAAGCGAGAGGACCTGGGTTTGATTCCCGGGCAGGGCGAAACATTGGGTAAGTTTCCTTACTCCACACTGTTTTCCTAGCAGTAAGTAGGAAGTTGTTTGTTAATCGATTATCAGGTTGCTTTTCCAGGGGGTAATAATAATAATAATTTGGTCACTGAATCCATAACTCTTTGTGGAACACTGCTGTGTGCAATTGACTATCACTTTTCGCCCACAAAATGTTGTTGGGGGTGCAGGAGAAGGGATTATTACCCCCGGAAAGCGATCCGCCAATCAAGTAATGAGTGGCTTCCACTTACTGCTGGTGTAAACAGAGGTGTGGAATAAGGAAAGTTGCCTAACGTTTCACCCTGCCAGGGAATTGAACCCAGGTCCTCTCGCTAGCAAGGCGAGTGCTCTAACTACTATGCTATATCACATGCAAGGATTATTATTAATAATATATTGTAAAATGGATGCGATCCTGTGTGAGGGGAGATAGATAAATGATGTTTTTGTTGAGTGTGTGTTTGGAGGTGAAGTTTGACTGATTTGCTGTGGATCCTTCAGGTGGACTATGCTGACCGGCAGGTGAGGGAGCGAGGGGCTCCGTGTCTGACTGCTGGCCCCATCCAGCACAGAGAGACAGTCCAGGAAAGCTGGCCAAAGGCCAAGGAGCAAGAGGGGAACTTCAGCAAAGACAGCATCGAGCTGAGTGACCTGGAGGAGACCACAATGAAGTGGGAGAATGAAGAGAACAGGTATTTCAAAGCCCTCCACGGCCTTGCTCCTCCCTAAATCTGTGGCTGCTAACCCCATATCAACCTCTCCGCTCAGCGGGCTCTCTCTGCCCCCACCCTTTGGAACTCCATCCCACAGTCCCTTTCCCTCGCTGCCTCACTTGCCTCCTTCAAGGCCCATCTCAAGTCTCTCCTCTTCAACTGTGTCTTTGGTCACCCTCCTATCCCTATCCTCCCTGCCTTCCACGCCTCCTGATCCCAAACCCCAGCTTGAGTGCAAGTCCTGTTTGTCCAGCGCCTTGGGACATTCTCCCAATGTGAATGATGCTGTGTAAATCTATTGTTGTTGTAAATGAATCATTGTTGTTGTTGAGGGTGGGCTGATGGGAACAATCGATGACTACTACGCTATGGGACTCTGCACTTTGAATGTCTTTAATGATCCGCTCTTGACCTCTGTGCTCCAGTGTTGTGAGGCTGGATGGTTCAGGGATGTGAAGTCATGTCGGTGCTGTCAGAACACGCTCATGACTGCTGTTTGCATCCCCAGGAAGGACAGCACTGTTGTGAAGACCCCCAGGGCTGGGAGGGGCAGGCGGCCGACCTCACGTGAGTCGCTGGAGACTCTGTACTTCACCCCGCTTCCCCACAGCACCCGCTCCAAGCTGGACACCAGCGTTTGCTCATTCAACGATCTCAGCCTGGACTCGGCCAAGAGGACACGGTCTGGGCGAAGGCGGACCACCCAAGTCATCAACATCCTAATGACAAAGGTAGCCATGGGGCTCTCAACTATCATGTCCACTCTCTCTCTCTGTCTAGCAGCTTACAGTGTGTGAGGTTCTTTGCTGTGTTAAGAAGCAGGAGTCTGTGTGTCTCTTGGTGGTGGTTTCTGCTGGAGCTGGGGTTGGGTCCCGCAATTTGTTGTGAGCATTTTGGGTGGACACCAACCCTCAGGGAGGATATGACTACAATAATAGTAACAACCCTTGCATTTGATATAACACTTTATCACAGGATATACTGTAAAGTGTAGTGACTGCATATTTTGTGGCTAAAATGCAGCAGCCAATTGCACACATCAGTATCCCACAAACAGTTGTGGATTGAGTGACCAATTTATTATTTTATTTTTTATTTGAATGGATTCTTACCCCCGGAAAAGTGATCTGCCAATCGACTAACAACCAGGTTCCGACTTACTGCTAGTTGAACAGAGGCGTGTGGAGTAAGGAAACTTGCCCAATATTTTGCCCTGCTGGGAATTGAACCCAAGTCCTCCTGCTTGCGAGTCGAGTGCTCTAACCACTAAACTACAGGACTCCACTGACTTATTTGCTCTGGAGGGAGTGCAGTGCAGATTCACCAGAATGATACCAAAGCTTAAAGGGTTAAATTATGAGGACAGGTTGTATAAACTTAGTCTCTATTCCCTTAAGTTTAGAAGGTTGAGGGTTGATCTGATTGAGGTATTTAAATTAATAAAGGGATTCAATAGTGTAGCTGCACAGAAACTATTTCCTCCAGTGTGGAATGCAGGGTGTCATCTTTAAATTAGAGCCAGGCTATTTAAGGGTGAAATCAGGAGGCAGTTTTTCACCCAAAGGGCAGTGGGAATCTGGAACTCTCTCCCCCAAAAGGCTGTGGATGCTGGATCCGTTCACAATGTCCAGACTGAGGTGGATAGATGTTTGTTGGGTCAGAGTTATAGGGCAAGGGCGGGTAATTGGAGTTGAGTTACAAATCAGCCATGATCTTATAGAATGGTGGAACAGACTCAAGGGACTGAATGGCCTCCTCCTGTTTCCTATGGTCATTAGGAGCTGCTGTAAGTGGCTGATATTGAACATTCTGGGAGTCCAGCGGCAAAGTGTTGACTTTATTAAGCATCAATATGCTTTTTCCTGTCTAGAAACAAACGACTGTTGAGCATGATGAACCCAGTAGCTCCAACTCCTCCTTCTGCAGCATGAAGTCAGCCAGGTCTCACCCCAGCCTCTCCAGCAAGGCCCAGTCCCAGGCTGCCCGCAGAGGCAGGCCCATGTCGGTCACCTCGCTTTCCTCCATCGACAGCTCCCCGTGCCAGGCAGCTCTGGATCTCCTGAGCAGTGAGGATGTGGGAGCAGCCAGGCTGCTGAGCCTGCCGGGGTATCGTCCCTCCACCCACGGCTCCACCCGCTCCTCCACATTTGGTTCCGTGGTTTCAAGTAAGTGCAGCACAGTTAGGTGTTAGCCTGGCTGAGTTGGTCCTCTCTATCTATCCGCGACCAGGGATCCTTCTGCCTCCTCGTTCTCCTCAACCTCTCTGCTGTGTTTGACGCAGTCGATCACACCATCCTCTTCCACCACTTCTCCCCCATCCGCCTTAGTGGGACTGCACTAGCCTGGTTCAAGTCCTACTTGACTGACCGCCAGGAAATGGGTTCTCCTCCCACCCCCGCCCGGTCACTGCGGAGTAGCCCATCCTTGGCCCCTTGTTTCCTTATCTATACGCTCCCTTTCAGTGATGTCATCCGCAGACATGGTGTCAACTTCCAACACCCAACTCTACCTCTCCTTCTCCAGCCGCGACTCCAGGTCCGCTGATGTTCTGTCAGCTTGTTTGGCTCATCCAGGTCTCGATGCCACTTTCAAATCCCACTTAAAGTCCTTCCTTTTTGATCATGCTTATTACGGTCACCTCCCCCACTCCCTCTCCCCCTGCCTCGGGGTCAGACTCTGACACTGTCAAACGCTCCAGAACGCTCCCCTGCATGAACAGCGCTGTGCAAGTTGTTGATGTTGTTATTCTAGCTCTGTCATCTTTGGATCAGTGGTTTGTGGGTTCAAGCCCCACGTTAGGGTCTTGTCCTTCGATGAGACGTTAAGCTAAATTGCTGTCAGTGCCTGTCCAGGTAGATGTTAACAATCCCACGGCACTAATCAGATAGAGAAGCAAGTTTCTCTCCCACAGGAACAGGCATAAGCCATTCAGGATAAGGCGCTCTATCAAATTCAGGGAATATTAAAGTGTTATCTCCCCCTCTCTCCCCCCCACCCCACCTTCTCTTCCCCACCCCTTTCTCTTTTCCCCACTTTCTCTCTTTCCCCTCCACCTCACTCTCTTCACCGACCCTTCTTACCCCCACCCCCGCCCCCCCAATTAGATGCAAACACACTGTATCCAGGAAGCTGTCAGGATGAACCGGAACATCTGGACGACTGGAACAGGATTGCTGAGCTGCAGCGACGGAACGGAGCCTGCCCCCCACACCTGAAGACCTCGTATCCACTGGAGTCCAACGTAAGAATCTCTCTCCTCCCAGCGCCCTCCGTCTCACATCTTCCCTTTCATTCTGAGCTGGGGGCTGGTCAGCCATCAGAGGATGTAGGTTCAATACTCTCCTTCACTGAAAATCTGCCGCTCACTCGTTCACTCTCTCGTTCACTCGCTTACACTCGCTCACTCACAATCTCCTCTCACTCACTTTCTCTCACTCTCACACACAATTGGCTGCTGTGTTTCGCCCACAAAATACCTACACTTTACAATATATTCTGTGAGCGCTTTGAGACGTCTCAATGATGTGATAAGGCGCTGTATCAAATGCAAGGATTATTATTATTCTCCTATCAGACTGCCGACAGGTCCTGCCTGACTGAAGATGAGCTGAGGCTGGGGGACCCCAACGAGACGCTCCGCCGGGCCACCTTGGTGCCTCAGCAAATCAAGGACATGAACCCTCATCGCCAGCTGGCCATGGCCTTCACCGCTGACTCCCACCCCAGCTGGAAGGGTGTGACCACCAGGCAGCAGAAGCGACTGTCAGAGGAATCTCACCACGGCAGAGACACCCCGCAGGTAACCACGAGGAGACACTTGAGACCAGCAGTCTTTTATCAAAGTGTGTCAGCCTGGCTCACTCAGGGGCACTCTTGCCTCTTAAGACATGAAAGCTGCTAAACAAATGTAATTTGTTGTAAGACAGAAGGTTGTGGGTTCAGGCCCCACATCCTGACTTTGAGCTCACAGTCCAGGCTGATACTCCAGGGCAATGCTTGGGGGGTGAGGGGGGTTTGCATTTTCAAGACGCCATCCTTTGGATGACTGAGGTTCAATCAGTGCTCTGTTCAGTGGATGTTAACAATCCTATGGCACTATTTCAAAAGAAAAGCAAATTTCTTTCTCCTTTTTCCCTGCCTTTCCCCTCTCACTCTCGTTGTCCTGGCTAGCAACACCTCCACCCCACCCCCTAATAAGATCAATCATTCATTTCATTGCTGTTTGCCAAACATTGCTGAGTGGAGGGAGCGGCCAGATTGATACGGGGTTTGCAGGTCACAGTGATATGGAGGAGCAAGGTCGTGGAGGGCTTTGAAGGCAAGAACAAGGATTTTGATGGTGGTGGGGTCACAATAACCACATATTGGGGATCCTCTTCAATCGCTGACGTCTCTGAGCTTATTGCCAAACTAACTTTCTGTTTTCTCTGCTCAGTCCAAAAAGCAGGCGAGCTGTTTCCCCCGACCGATGACCCCAAAGGAAAAGGAGAAATCTGGATTCTTGCTGTTTGATGTCAAATCAAGGAGGCCGTCTCCCAGCAAGGTCAAAAACCAGGTACAAACCTCCTGGGGCTAAATAACCCCACCTCTCCCCCCCCCCACCCCTCACTGCCTCTCTCCTTGGTGGGAGGTAAGCAGGGTCTCCTTGGAGCTGAACTGGTTCCAAAGTGACACGCCTGGCAATGAAATATAAGAAGATGTGATAAGGTGCTATATCAAATGCAAGGATTATTATATTCATTATCTGCCCTCTTGCCCTCCCCTAGGCTGAGCGCAGGAAATCGCTGGCCTTCTCCGTGCTCAATACCCCCCGCAAGCTGAGGAACAGCCTGCTGAGGAGCACCTGCAAGAGAACCACTCCCAAGGCAGTCAGCAAATCCCCCAAAAAATCACCCAGAGCCCTAGCAAATCCCAAAAAGGTAGGTGTGTGTGTCTGGGGTGATGGGTTCCTGATTTCTGGGCCCTCGGGACAGGCTAGACCTTTGTCTCCGCTCTTTATGAGGACCTGTGATCTCCATTCCTACTGTCTGGTAAGATTTACCTTTGTAGCCAGTGGATCAAGGTCATAAAATTATGCATATTACAGCACAGGCAACACCAGATCATCTGTGCTGGTGTTTGCTCCCCCAATGGAGCTCTCTACCCAATTCCGTTGGGAGTTTATTACTTTGCTGTAAATTTCTGATTGTGATACTGTGAAGCACCTGTGAAGCACCTGTCAAGGTTGAGCAAAAAATGTCTTTTTTACAAATCTAAATTAAGTAATTTTGTAAATTTAAATCTAATATGCAGAGAAACTATTTCCTCTGGTGGGGAATCCAGAACAAGGGGGTATGATCTTAAAATTAGAGCCGGGCCATTTAGGAATGAAATCAGGAGGCAGTTTTTCACCCAAAGGGCAGTGGGAATCTGGAACTCTCTCCTACCACATTGTGGATAGAAGTTTGTTAGGTCAGGGTATCTAACAAGGGCTAGTAATGGGAGTTCAGGTACAGATCAGCCATGATCTAATAGAATGGCATAATAGGCTCGAGGGGCTGAATGGCCTCCTCCTGTTCCTATGTTTCTATGTTTAGTTTTACATGAATTTCCTGTTTGCTGTGTTTAGGACATTTATCGCAAACCCTCGAGGAATGTCAAGATGTGATTTTGGGAGCCAGGCCAGACAAGACGATACCAGAGAGCCTCACCTGAAATACTGCCTAAAAGATTCCCTATCACTCCCTGAAAGGAATGTCATTGTTTGTGTCACAGGGTTTCTGTGCTCGCTGTGTGTGGCCTGTGGTGTGGGGGCTGTCACACAAATGCAATGGGAAATGTGGAATTTTCTATTTTTTAAAAAAAATACTTTCTTTTGTCCAAAATATAACTTTTTTTCATTTTTCTTACAAAAAAATCCCACACTCGGGTCAGCAGTGGCTTTCACCCTCATTTCCCTGAAAGTGAGCCGGGCAGTACTTTGTGGGGAAAACCCCTACAATTTAAAATAAGTATTTAAATAACCTGCTGCTGTTCTGTGTGTGGGTGTGTGGGGGCGCAGGAGGGAGGAGGAGAGAAGGGGGATGTAGCATCATTCTAAGAAGACACTTGAAATTCCACCTGATCTTAGCCTAAATTGCATTTAATATAAAATAATAATAATTCTTGCATTTGATACAGCGCCTTATCACGTCATTGAGACATCTCAAAGCGCTTCACAGAATATACTGCCAAGTGTATCTGTATTTTTTGGGCGAAACAGGACAGCCAATTGCGCACAGCAGCGTCCCACCAATAATCGTGGATTGAGTGACCAAATTTTTTTTGGGAAGGGGCAGAATTTAAGAGACAGCAGAATTGTGGAAAATACTGCTTAACGCAAGGATTATTATTATTTTTAAAAAACAATTATGAAATCTCAACCCTAAGGGATCTAATTTCCTGTCCTGCCACTAGTGCAAGTAGCTAGCACTAGATGGTGCTGATAACACTAAACTATGTGTGTGATGCTATGTTAATACCGTTCGCTTCAGTTCCTGTAGGTATTCTGCTGTTCGTTTTTGTGGAGTCCTGTAGTGTAGTGGTTAGAGCCCTTGCCTCGCAAGCGAAAGGACCCGTGTTCGATTCCCAGGCAGGGCAAGTTTCCTAACTTCACACCCCTCTGTTTACCTAGCAGCAAGTAGAAACCTGCTTGTTAGTCGATTAGCATATTGCTTTTCCGGGATAATAATCTGGAATAATAATAAAACAAAAATACATTTTAAAAAATATTTGGTCGCTCAGTCCGCGACAGTTTGTGGGACACTGCTGGACACAATTGGCTGCTCCGTTTTGCCCACAAAATACGTAGTCAATTCACTTCTCAGTATATTCTGTGAAGCGCTTTGAAACGTCTCAACAATGTGATAAAGCGCTATATCAAATGCAAGGATTATTATTAAAATCAAATTAAGATTCTTGCAACAGAGATGGACTAAATCCCTTGATTTTGACAAAAATCAGTAAGAGAGCGAGTGGCTGGGGTGGGGTCATTCGATAAAACATCCTTTATAAAAACTATCTCTGCTTCAGTCTCCATTTGGTTTTTTTGGTCTTGTCCTATTGGTCTGTTTTCCTTTTGCTGCTCATGTCTTAATCTATCAACAGGTGCATTTCTCTATCTGGGAATAAGCTCCCATGACTGTATGTGGGACATTGCTGTGCACAATTGGCTGCTGGGTTTGCCCACAAAATATACAGTCGATTCACTTTACAGTATATTATTATTATTATCACCTGCTTTCTGTGGAGGGAGTGATGTGCGCAATTGGCACCCACAAATATTTTGTGGGTGAATTTACACTTTACAACCTATTCTGAGAAGCGCTTTCAGACATCTTAGTAACACGATAAGGCGCAACATTAAATGCAAGATTATTATTTGCTGTACATCAGTGTGTCTTTCTATTCCTCTCATGTACACTGTGTGTGTGTGTGTGTGTATCTCTTCGTGCTCACTCTGGGTAGATGGTGAAAAGCAATGGGAGCTTATTCCCACTGCCCCCTCTCTCTGTGCTGCCAGGGATAGGGATCTCTGTATATAGTATCAGTCAGACTAGTGTAAGGGCAGCTCATGTAGCCAGAACCTGCACTACAGCTCCCTTGCCAAGGCCCAGTGCCTCTGACATCTCTGGTTGATTCCAAGGTTGGTGTGTGTGTGGGGAGCCTGTGTGTTTGTGGGGAGGGGTGTGCGCGCGCGTGTTTGTGGGGAGGGGTGTGCGTGTTTGTGGGGAGGGGTGTGCGCTCACGTGTTTGTGGGGAGGGGTGTGCGCGCGCGTTTGTGGGGAGGGGTGTGCGCGTGTGTTTGTGTGTGGGGAGGGGTGTGCGCACGTGTTTGTGTGTGGGGAGGGGTGTGCGCACGTGTTTGTGTGTGGGGAGGGGTGTGCGCGCGTGTTTGTACGTGGGGAGGGGTGTGCGCGCGTGTTTGTGTGTGGGGAGGGGTGTGCGCGCGTGTTTGTGTGGGGCGGGGTGTGCGCGCGTGTTTGTGTGTGGGGAGGGGTGTGCGCGCGTGTTTGTGTGGGGAGGGCCGTGCAAGCGTGTTTGTGTGTGGGGAGGGTTGTGCACGTGTGTTTGTGGGGAGGGGTGTGCGCGCGTGTTTGTGTGGGGAGGGGTGTGCGCGCGTGTTTGTGTGTGGGGAGGGGTGCATGTTTGTTGTGTGTGTGTGTGTGGAGGGGTTGCGCGGATGCGTGTGGGGACAGGTGTGGAGGGAGGGGTGCATGTGGAAGGGGTGCGTGTGTGTGAGAAGAGGAGGGGTATACGAATGTCATCTTGTTGTGTAGGTGTGTATGGAGGGGTGTGGGTATGGAGGGGTGTGTATGTGGAAGGGTGTTTGTGTGTGTGGAGGTGACAGACACAGGACGGACCGGCCAGTGGTGCTTAAACTTTAATATGACAATCTTCAGAAAAGGGCTTCAGTAAGTTTTAAAGGTGATTTTTTAAAATAAAAGCAACAAATGGTTGAATATTTTCTGTTTCCCCATCGCCTGGTGGATGGGTGAATTGTGTATGTGTGAACATGTGAACTTGTCTACTTTAATAAAATCGCTTTTCCATCAACTTTCTTCATACAATGTGTGAGTCTGTCCACAAAATTGAGGGGTTCAGGTTTGACCAGAACTTATCCTGGCCTGAACCTGGGGGCTGAGGAACAATGGTGGGAAATATCAGCCTTGTTGTTTCAGGGTGGGGGCAAGTGCGGTGATCACCACACTGGCAGATCATACAGCTACTTCCACACGAGGGGCAGCCCAGCCCTCAGGCCATGGAGGGGAGAGAATCAGCTATGATTTGGGCCAATAGAAAAGGGTGGGGTACTTTTTCCACCACAACAGGATCCCACTGTCTGCTGCAAACCCACTACAAACCAGCCCTGGGGGCTAACCTTTACACCCAGTGCTCTCGGCTGCAGCCTCTCAGGCTGTTGGCTTGACGCTGTTGCTATGGCCGGAGGGCTCTGATCGCGCAAACCATCATGGGAGCGCCGTGTGCGGGAAATCGACTTCGCTGGTGACTGAACCTCAATAGGAAAAGCAGCTGCATCACACACTGCTGAAGTGCGATGCTCTCAGTAAGCGCTGCACTATTCAAATACACATATTTAATATTTTAAACATAACAAGTTTCAGGAAATGCCGAGCTGCAGCTTTAATCCGGGTTGGTTGACTTTTCATGTTGTACCACAGAGGCAGATCCTCTCATTCTCCTCAGATAGAGCAGTGCTGTATTGAGCTGCCTGACCTTTATGAAGGAAGGGGGCAGTTGTTTTGCCGCGTTTGCTGCCATGCAATTGACCGTATTCACAAATTCACCATCGATGAGCACAGGAAATTTCAGAAACATTGTGAACACAAAGCAGTGGTGATAAAGAAGAAATGAAGGTGAAATATTTGTGATCTATATAATAGCGGCTGCACCTGTTACAGCTTCACTGGAAACCAAAGGATCAATATGGAATGTAGATCGACAGACAGACATTTCATCTTTGTCCATAACTCCTGGAGGGGGACTCAGCGCTCTAAACGTGATTCTGTTGTTGTTGCCGAGGCTCAGCTTCATCTCTGTTCTTTATATTGTTCCCACCACTTGGCTGCGTGAGTGCTCTGTGACGCATTATGCCACAGCGCCACGGTCAGCCGGCGCGGCCACCAGATGTAACTGCAGTGTGACGCACAATGCTGCAGTGCTACTTTGACTCAGCGGCCACCAGGTGTCACTGCAGCGAAAAATACCAAACTGAAAATAACTCAAATCAATAGGAAATACCCGAAAACAAATATGCCCATGACACTCCAGACTCAAGACCTTTCCGTTGAGATGCAAATCATGTCTCCACGTCAATCAGTTATTGAGATCCTTCTTGAAGAGCATACAGATATGGTTGTTTTGTTAGTATAGATTGAATGAAAATATTATTTGTTTTCACTTTAATTTTGAAAGAAAACCCTAATTTGTCTAATTGCCAAAGTTAATCACTTTCCATTTGATTGATTCTAAAAGAACATAAAACAACCCAGGCAAAACAAACCAACAGAACTTTTCTAATGACAAATACAGCATGAAAATCAATTTTTATTTTTTCCTTTCTAGGAGGCTCTGGATCTCAAAGACAACTTGCTCTCAACCCAGCTTCTCAATAAAAATTGATTTTCATGAATGCATTTGGACTTTGTGCAGTAAGTGACGAGAGCAGACACTTGAAAATACTCCTGCCTTCCAAGAATGTCTATGTAAGTACATGAAACAGGGAGGGACTATTCCAACACCATCGCAGCTTTGTAATACACACTTGAAGAAGCTTATTCCTGAGCATGAAACATTTTTGAAGAAATATGTTGACGACCCAGATGTTTACTTATTCCTGGGTGAGATCACTGATTCCAGTGGACGCAGTGTCTGGCAGTGTCTGGCACAGCCACTGCAGAATGTTGGGGAGAAGCCTCTTATTGAAGTAGAATTCTTGCAGCAAGTCTTTCCTTTCCACTGCTGTAATAGTGTCTTTTATCAATATTGCTACTCCTCCTTTCCCGATGTCCCTTTCTTTTCTAAAGATCTTATCGACTGGAATATTTCGCCCCCAGTCATGCCCAGCTTGTAACCAGGTCTCTGTAATGGCTACTACATCATACCCTTAAAGGTGAATTTGTGCTTCTAACTCACTTGTTTTATTTCTCATGCTCCATGCATTTGTATACATAACTCTTATTTGGATTACTGTCCCCAACATGGCTATAGGCCCTGACGATCTTCTTCTCACATTTTTTTGACTCGCTACACCTTTTGTGATAACTTCATAATTACCGTGTTTCTTCCGGTAGTATTTATTTTGCCATTGCTCTCGTCCTCTCCTTGCCTTATGTTCTGGTTATTCTTTCCACCCAACCCTCCCCCGCCACTCCCTACTGGTTTAAAGCTTTTTCTACAGTCCTATTTATCCTTTCTGCTAGATTCTTGGTCCCAATCCTGTTCAGGTGGAGCCCATCCCAGCAGTACAGCTCCTTCTTATCCTAGTACTGGTGCCAGTGTCCCAAGAAATGGAGCCCCTCCTCCTCCTCACACCAATCTTTTCAGCCACACATTCACTTCCCTTGATCTGTTTATCCCTTTGCCAATTTGCACA